GTTCATGTCCTCAATCTATAGAAACGGGACATCAACAACAAAACATATATTCAACCGTTTTACACACCTTTGCCTCACCAAACACGATGTAGCAGTCGCTGTTTTGCGACTTGTAGACATCGGGGGAAGAGAGAACGAATAACACGTTCTTGGGCCTGCGGAGGGTCACGCGGGTGATGCTGGGAACCTTCTTCAAACCCAAACCAAGAAGAGCCTTTCGAGCCTTTCGCTCTGAACGAGACTGAATTTTGTCGAGAGCAGCCTGGGAGGTGGGGTCCTCCTCGTGGTCATGGTCGTGGTCGTGGTCAGAGTGGTCCGAAGGGAGTTCTTCAATGGTAGCGGACATCTAATGGACGCGTCAGCGACGTGTTCGGGTACATCTGAAATGACCGCTGTCGATCCATCCAAAGACTCTCATTTCATCACAAGTCACGTATCTTGAAGTTTTCAATGTCTGAAATAACGCTCACCTTGGATTTTATGAGGTTTTTTTGAATGGATGTGTACTCGTCGTTGTCAACAGCGAGCAAGCAGAGTCAACCTGTGAACTCGGCGTTTGCCGAAAAAGGCAACCCCCGCACTCGGCACTAATCATTGTATGAACTTGCGATAACTGCTATTCAAACCATTGATGCAATGGTGATTTCCATGCAATTAATGTCCTCTCCCATCCGCTTCAAATGATATATATGACACAGTCGCGACATCATCATGCGTAACTTCCAGTGACAAGGCATTGTCCATTATTCACAATGGGTACAGCAACCAAGTATGTGAAGGTGCAGGCTGAGGCAGCAATCAATAACTTTCAACAGCACTTTCCAGTTACTTAGCGCATTCCACGTGCTCACATGTCGTCTTTCTACTGAAGTGACTGAACACATTTCAGACATAACCATACACGGCATGTGGTGTATCAGCATTCCTGCAACCACCGCTCGGAGGATCTTCATCAAATAGGGACCTTGAATACGTGTGATGATCTGTTTCGTTTCTCATTCATTAGTGAGTGATCTTCATATGAATCCGAAAGTCTCCAACGTACTTGATGCTAGGTTGATCGATATTCAATATATCGTCTGGACTCCCTCATCTTATTGTGTCTTACACTGGTGCCAACCCATCCAGCGACGAGGCCGTCCATCGCCAGGATGAGTGCTCTGGGGTTCTAATTTCATCATCAGCGAAGAAGAAGTTGCGTAAAGGTTATCTACCGTGGTATCCGAAAGATAACAGAGCGGATCAATGGGAAGCGAGTGTTACAGGTATAACGTTTAAGTCGGAAGAAACCCGAATTCAGAAGTAAGATGGTGCAAGTATCTTATTGACTGTCAGCATACGATTTGTATTACTATGGTGTGACTAGGCATGTAACAATTTGGGGAGGAGCGGTGAGCGCTTGTGCGGTGTGACGTTTATATAAAGCTACATAGTGAAACCCTGATCTCTAAGAGCCCATTCTGCTTATGTCGATAACAGCTCTGTCCCACCAGGTCCGCATAATATTAGAAGAGGCTCCAGACGATGCACGACTGGAACAGGTTCTTCAGGCTGTAGATGACTTTGTTCGTGAATGTGCTGCATCTAAAGAGCCAGACGTTTTACTCTTCCAATTGGAAGAGGAACTCCAATCATTCCACAGCGATACAATCACCCACAATTCCCTCCAGTATACTGAAGTGTTATTGGCCATCCTATTCCGTTTGCGCCCCTTGTTAACATCAATTTCGCTCATCTCTACATGGTTCGACCTGGTTCTTCGTCCCGCCTTGCGAGAACCACGGCTCTCCACTCCGGCTGCCAATCACGCCAAGGAACTAATTATATCGGCAGCAGTCAAAACAGACGAAAAGTATCCCGAGAAGGTGGCCAACTTTCGACGTCGCCTCCTTGACCTTTATGTCTTGGATGCATACAATGAAGGATCTGGCGATGACTTGCTGGAGTGGGCCGAACTCGACCAGGAACAGAGGGAGAAAAGATCGCTGTGGAAGTTCAATCTAGAAGATGTCCTCGTGAAGTCTGGGTTGCGGCAGCCTCAGGTATTCGACAGCTGCAGTTTGTCTCATCCAGACGTGCTGAAGGATGTGCTTAGGATTTCATGTCCGCAATAAACCACTCCTTTGCAACACCCTCGTCGCGTCTGCAACTATTGATCCTGCTCAATCGATACACTTCAGAGCCGTCGTTCCAGTCCCTCGCAGCAGCACTCGCCGACCATCCTTTGTTGGATAGTCTCCTCAATTCACTACTACTGGACAATTCTTCGACGGTGTGCACCATTGGATTGACTGTCATAGTCAAGCTTCTCCCTATCTTTGCTGTAAAAGCATCTGAGAAGCTGAAGATGATGCTCCCTCGTCTTCTTGCAATTCTTGCAAGAATTATATGCTGGAAGGAAAGATCCGTTCCCAAACCAGCATTTGAGGAGGGGGCTGAGGATACAGACGAAAGTTCTGCGAATGGCGATGCGCAAGGATTAGCGTATAACGAATTCACTGCATCCTGTAATCTGCCCTTACGACCTGAGCTCGGCTGGGAAAGGCTGGAGCTCATGTTTAATGCCGCATCTTCCACCCCACCACCTGGGATTTATTTTTCCTGCCTCTACTATCTTTTCCCATGTAACTTGCTCCGCTTCCTACGTGGCCCCTCAGCGTACCTTAACGATAGACAATATGAATCTCCCTTCTCCATCAGTTGGGAAGATGCTCTCGATGAGGACAACATAAGGAGCAAATCAGAGGTGCGAAATGGCCATTTATTTCGATCCTTATAACTGAATAAAGCTTGCAGTCTCTTTTACGAGGAAGAATCGTCAATGCAAGAGTCATATGGGGAGATTGGAGAAAAGAATTGACAGAACCTGATACGTGGGCGAATTACAGTGTCTCTCGCATTGCGAGCGAGTGCACAATGCTTGACGTGCGAAACACAGCTCTAGGCAGCAAGCAGTTCTGTGCTGACATTGCATCGACTGCTGCTGAGCCATCGCTCCTCGAGTCAACTATCATATTTGACGGAGATACTTCAACGGCACCAACGCCCCACCCTGGCTATGTGGAACTGCCAACTGTAAAACCCCGCGTCTCACTGGAGAACATGATCACGGCATCCGTTGCACTCAAATCCAATCTGGATGTGGAGATCGAGGCCCCAACAGCCGCCTGGTCATCCCTGTTGTTCCCTGCAGGGAGCAATTCTCCGACAAAGCGCGCTTCCGATATACCGTCAGAGCCAAATACTTACAATGAACAACTTCCATCTCATGTTGCACAGGCAATTTCTGGTCTCCAGCGTGAAGTCCTACTTCTGCGAAATGAACTAAACTTTGAGCTTTGGCTTTCACGGGAAAACGTGAAACACATTGGACGCCTTTACCAAGATAAGATTTTGTCCAAAAATGCAGAAGTTGAGCAACAGGGGCTGGTGTGTGTTTTGTACCTGAGTTATTCAACTTGCTGATCATAATTTAATAGTTCAACAAGCTACGTCACTACAGAGCCGAGGTCCAACGGTTAGATCGCCAGCTGAGGGATCACAGGGAACAATCATCGTCTGCAAAAAACAAATATGCTGATTGGAATACCGAACTGCAGAACAAGCTGAAAGAGTTTCGGGAGGAGAAGAAGTTATGGGTCTCTGAAGCTGCTTCGCTACGGACGGCGGAGAAAGAAGCTCAGGTAGAACTTCATTCGAAATCAGGATTTTATACTAATTCTTGCCTAGGCTCTTTTTGCTGCTCAAGGGCAATTGCTCGCGGATGCAGTAAAGCAGGTATTTGAGCTCCAGACTCAGAGGAAGGAAACCCAACACAAGGTCGATCGTCTGAGGGACTATGAGCGACAGATCGATCAGCACGTTCGCATGCAACGTCTCTGGTTCGACTTTCTCACGTTGGGTTCCGCCACGATGTTTGCTGACTTGTTCGTAGGGATACAGACTTCCAGAGGTTCAATGATCGGGCTGAAGAGCTCCAACAGCTGACAACACAGTTCAAGCAGGTGGAACTGCATCTAGAGAGCTATCAGAAGACATTCGAACAAATGAGCGAGGATGCTCGGTATGAGTTTCATTTGCTTTGCATGTATTCTGAACAAAACGTTGTTGTAGGAGCCATCGACGACAAAACCAGGCATTAGAGGCCCGTCTTTCTCTACTTCAAAAGAGGTGTGATGCCTCCCGACGCCTTCCTGAAGCCGAGATAGCAGCATTTATGGAAGAGAAGTCGGAGCTTGCCGCAACCAACGCCAGGTTGAGGGAGGAAAACGCTGATCTAAAGGATGAGATGGGAGAGATGAGAGCAAGGATGGAGCTTATGAAGGCTCAGATTGATGGACACAAAGGCCTGCTTGGCGAAACGCGATCCATGCCAGCACTATGAATGCCCGACTAGACGTTGAGGCCTGAGGTATGATGTTGAGTAATTACTAATGTACAAGGAATCCAGTCACGCGAATAGCATTCACGGAATCAGCCGTTCGCAGCTCTACGAAAGACGCATATATGCTAGCAGTGCTTTTGAATCATGACCCTAAAAACCATATGGCTCCAGCCATCTGATGCACTTGGGCTGTGGTCTCTTACATTCCCCCATGTTGGGGTCAGACCGCAACGAAGCACTAGATCCCGGGTTTGAAATGGTCAGCCTAGTTCTCGCCGACCACCTCGGAATGCGAGAAAAATCCTATTCTTCAAGTAGTACATCTCCTACGACAAGAGATTAGCCATTTCGCATGTATGTAACTCGTCGATTTTGATTTATCTCAAGAAGACTGAAGCGTCAAGAAGGCTACCGACATTAAATTTGAACTTGACACACCAGCAGGTACATTCTGGAATCGTATCAGGGACAAACTTGAAATCGACGCGACTGCTATTTGCGCTCTTGCTCGTTTGTATAACCAACTATACCAGAACAGTTCTGTGCAATCCCAATTGTTGGTGACAGCACAGTGCTTCTTCACTCAGGCTGTACATGGGCGGCGTAAGGATAAAAGCACAGAAAGAAACGAGCGGATATTGCTTTGCCAGTGAGTTCGCGGGACCAAGTTGGCATTGAAGGTCATTCAATGACACTTGGACTCGCTTAGCTACATGATGATAAGTACATGGTGTGAGTGTGCTGAATGAGTAAAGATAGCATCTCTGGAAGTACGTCATTGCAACGATGACATTACTTTATGAAACTAAACACTGACTATACTAGTAGTCCGAGTCATCATGCATCAGTGGTAATCGGGCTACTTCCGACAGTGTTGTCCAAGCCGTCAGCAGACGACCTGACCCTATGCATCTGTGTGATACGCTCTTCTAAAAGATCCAACTGAGCATCAGTCTCTCGAAGAGATGTCTTGTTCCGTTGGCGGACTGCAGTGAGAAAGTCAACATCTGCCGCAGTACGAGACAGCGACTGCTCGGTAACAAGTACTTTCAACAACCCTTGAGTGTCTCGCTCTGCCCCACGGAACTCCAAGTCTTCTTCGGCAGACAGAGACATGAGGAGAGTGCGCAGCCTGTTCGTTTCTTCGAGTTCCCAATACGTCATAAAGAGGCGCATACGTTGGCGTTCACGAACTGCTGCCTTGTAGTGGACAAGGAAGCGGCAAGATGCAGGGTTAAGCTCATCCATATGCCTTAAAAAATAATTCATCGGTCTAGGAATTTGATGTACATAATGAGACTTATGTACACTTGAAAGTCAGAGGGACCTACATTGCTGTCCGGAGCTTGCGATCGATTCTCACTAGGTCTACCCACCAGGCTGTCAAAGGTATGTGCGTCTTGAAAGCTGGGTGGCTGGCGGTATGGATGAAAAGGATGATGGTGACTTTTGCTACGGTGCTTCGCACGACTCGATTCAGCCCCAGGAGAGGTACCAGTGACATGATGATATGCGCCACCTGGATACTTAGAGTTAGGAGTCAAAGGAAAGCCATCCTCAGTATCCGTCTCCAAGACCATGCTCGTCGCTGTCACTGACGTATGAGTATATTTACATCATATTATGAGTAATATACCTCCGGATGACAAGGGAGAACTTGGAGGACTTAAGTTACAGCTCGCAATGTTAGTGGCGTAACAAGGGCGTTGAGGCGGTGTTGGTGGTGGTGTGCACGAAGTTTCGTATAAAGGAGGACATACGTTCATTTTTCAGTGATGAGGGTGGGTGTTAGGCTCTAGGGAGTTTGTCAGTAAGCGATAAATAACCATTCGGACTTTCAAAGTTAAGTTGGGGATTCTTAGCCTGCTTTTCCATGTTTGATAATTGGTGACCGCGGGTGACGAGCTTGAAGCTTGGATTTTTGCGATATGAACGTTAACGATTGCCAATTTTGGCATTTGCGGAGATTGAAAACTTAAGTCGAGTCGACTGACCCGCGCGAATATTGATCAAATATTATGATTATGTCCGGATGTCAACATGGCTAGCGAAACCAGAAATTGTTGCTAAGTAAGCGGGGAATACCCCGATCCAATGCTAGTCCATCGTTATTGTTCGCTTCCATGTAAGCCCTTTCGTTGTTTCTTCCACTGTGATCAATCTACAGGCCCTTGTGGGTATTGAAGACAATCACAAAATGGTCCGCCCACAGCTTTAACTCATTTAAAGGACACGGGTCTGCGAGGTAGCTATCAAGTTCGTCCCAGTCAACGCTCCCCCCCCCCATTCCTCGCGCCACTGTTTACTATGTCCTCCGACTATGTTGTGCGTCTTGGCCCCAAGGTCACTCTCAGGCTCAAAGCCTCCTCTCCAAGACCAACACATTCAGATTCATCTTACCAGAGCTCTGTCTCAGCGTGCCCCCCAGTAGAGGCCTCACGAAAGAGATCTCGAGATGCTCGATGTGAAACCGATACACCTGCTATCCCGTCTTCTGCCACCTCGCCCCTGCGCGTCATAGTACCATTGAAGCGAAAGATTATCATTGCGACGGATGGAAAATTGGACGTTGGTCATTCACAAAACAATGAAAAAACTGCTTCTAGTTACGGGGGCGATAGCTACGTGTCTGAGTACCTCTCCAAAGATTGGCAGATGTCAGATCCAGCTGACCCTGGCGCGCCCGTTCCTACCAAATCTCAACCGCAAGATGACTGGGAGATGGCATCTTGGTTAGCATTTTATGCCCTTTTCAATGATACGGGAAGTTGATGTCATGTCACAGATAGGTTGTCTTTGTACTATAGAAGGGTTAGAAAGGGAGGTCTCAAGGACAGACTGTTGAGGGGACCGTAGGTGTACAAGCGCAAGCGCTACTATAATTGTGTACGTCACTGAATATCTTTTCGGACAATGCATGGTCACATTGTCTCCTGATGGTACGTACAAGCATCGCTCGCATCTGATGCTCGTGTGTAAAACATGACTTACTTGATAAAGGCTCGTGAACTTTTCATATTGTCATACAAACACTTGCAGGTGGCGTGCTCAACAGTGGTACTGGTGAGTTGTTGTATATGCTGATGATTACCATAAGTTAGAGCGTGCGGCTCTTTGGCTAGACGATGAGTGACGGCTGAGGTACAATATGATTGTTGAAGTCTCACCGTTGTGATGCTCTTATTATATTCTCCAATGACTCGCTTGAACCATGACCATACTCCACGAGCACCTGATCGACGTTCTTTAGTGCTGTCGAACAAAGACTCGGAGCCGATATATATAACACTATGGCGGGACTAGTAAAAAGACAGAAGGGGCCTTTTCTAATGCCAAGTTTGAATACCCGAAAGAACGCTGTTTTATTTTGCAGAGTATGATTCCCTGTGATATGCAGCTTTGTTTTGCTTTCGTGGGCATAATAATGTCTCCAGTCTGGGATTAGTTGCGAGGACACGTCACGGTGATTCAGAGGTAGACGAGCTTCGAGTCATCGGATTCGAGCTTCGTACTACTTCAGAAGTTCCAGCAAGAAGTTTCTTAACATGGGTGACCTATGAGAGCCTCGTCTTTTCCGCTTGTTTCAAGGTTTTCAGAAAACCTGCGTGCGATTGTTATAAACTGTTCTCGGACACATTCACGAATTAACAACTCAACTTTTGCAGGGTGCAGAAGATGACTCGCCTTCACGGTGGCTCCGAGTCTCATACGAGCCAAGTGCTTCGCAGAGCGCCATCCATCCTGGTATGTCGTCCTGTGAACTTCGAGACGAATTGAAGTCTAAATTAGTGGAGAAGGAGTTCGAGCATCCGCCCTTGCATTTCATAATGCTCCTCAATTCTCGTGGATCCCGGAAAACTATCATGTGGCATTGGAAGTATAACAATACATGGTAGATTGACCGAGGGATTAAAAAGTTCTCAATATAAAAACGGCCCAATCCTTCGAAACGTGTTCCTTTGGCCAACCTTGAGTATATCCCACAGAACATTCAGCGGCTGGTGAGATGTGTCACTCTTGTAACCTAGGACCGCCGGTCTGTATGCTGATACTTTGTTCGTGTCCTCATCTACGCATTGCCTACATAGATCATTCGTCGGACCGTCACGGTGGTCGATGACATTGGTCGCAATGTGCTTCTGCATTGACCGTCATTGTTAGTTTTCAAGCGTTTCCATCGTTCTTACCACCATGATCAATCCACAGGCCCTCACAGAAAGTGATATTATTTATGGCATTGTTGAGTCCAACCTCATAATTTCGCTGTGGGTGTTTGAAGATAACCACAATGGTTCATCCACAGTTCTAAATAATTCTTAAAGGATGCATGTCTGCAGAGTAGCTACCAAGCTTACCCTACTGAACGCTGCATCGCAGAACAAATCATCACTTTCTACTGCCTTGTCCTCACACTACTCTTCATCATGACTCTACCGGGTAAGGTGATCCGAATCAATGACCATGCCACCATAAGGCTTATGCCCACCGATCATCTTCCACCACGCCTGAGCCGCCTTCTCCAGCGCCAGCAGGACTCCAACGTTTCCGAGTGCCCCAACTCGGCACTCCTACCACTAGAGGGGCAAGAAAACACAGCAATAAGTCTTGCTGAATCAAACACGCCTGTCATAAGGAAGCCACCTTCCCCTCGAAGGAAAAGGACCCGGAGGAGTAGAGAGAAAGAGAATCATATCACTTCATCCATCGCCTTAAAACAGCGCCATCGCATTCGCACAAAGCTCGACCATGGTTCAGTCTCCACCACATGTACTATCGATTAGATACATAGACTTAAGTACGATACCTCGGGGCCGCTTGACCTTGTTTCCCATGTCTGAGACATGGTTTTGTTTGATTTATGCTTAATACTTATGGACTCTCGGTATCTTGCCATGCGAGCAGTGTACTCGATGAGTAGCTCCTTCTGCTAGTTATTTATTATTTTACATGACAATGATTCAGGGTGTGCGTCAATCAAATTCTAACAACAGCATGAACCGAACCGAATTCAAACGAAATAATCGTCACTTTCAAGCCCCTTGAGCTCATTCTACTCCCCCTCAATTTCCAAATCCCCAATTGTTCACAATACAGTATTTCTCTAGTCTTCCACTTTCGTATTCTGCAACCCTTCGAATGCAATCAACTCACACTTTGTTTCTGACAGATCTCAGCCGATACAAGATTAGGGGTATTACCCAAGTTGACTTGGGGGGTCACGTGAGGTATCATTGTTTCGGATTAGAGTTGTTTTTGGAGGTTACGACTGTGACAGCACTTCAAAGGTTTCAGCTCTCCAGAGAGAATTTCTTACGATGCGTGATCTATGGTGCGAGGGCTCAGCTGCATCTTTTCTGTCTGTCTTAGGGTCTCCAGAAAACCTGCGTACGATTCATTTACTGCTTCGACTGCTCTCAGGCTTGGACATGATCACGAATTTGCAACTCCAAGTCGATTTTTCACGGTGCAGGAGTCGAGTCCTACCCTGTCCTTCACACACGAATCAAGTGCTTCGCCAAGTGTGATGGTTGTTGTTGCTGTTTATCATGCCATGTATTTGCAACCAAGAAAGCCGATACGTGGAGTATGCTGTTGGCTTTGCAATACGAGATCGAAGAAAATATACGATGCAGGTCCTAGGACCAAATACGATACCTTTATCATCATGCGTGAACATCATGAGCAGTGGAATAACATATGGAACGTCGGTCAAGAAATTGGAAAAGTGGTAAGTACTCGATTAACAATGGCTTACCCATACTAGCCGCATCGCATCCCTTTGGCCGAGTGTCGACCTTGAATATATCCTACAGACATTCAACAGCTAGTGAGGTGTATCATTCTCGTAAACAATAATCTAATACTGATACTTCGTTCGTGAGGTCGTGTATGCATTGCCTTGAATCAGAGGGCAGATAGCTCACTGGACCGTCACGTGCAGTGGACAATGGTGGTGCCAGTGGATGCAGGGTGCTTCCGCATTGACCGACAACGTCCACTCACAAGCTTCCGCCATTCCCGCTGCCGGGATCAATTCACGAGCCCTCACAGATTTGGCGATGAATACTACTCAAAGCATAGCCGAGTCCAATGCCGCAAGTCCGCTGTGGATGTGTCCACACCTCTAAATTGTATAAAGGATACGTGTCTGCAAGGTACCTACCAAGTTCACCCCAGTAGACGCTGCATCGCAGAACAAACTTTCACTTCTTACCCCGTGCTCACTCCTAACTACGATGATTCCCGGAAAGATCATTCGAATTAACGACAAAGTTACATTGAAACTTTGGCCCAGGCTCGAGGGCCAAGTTTTAAAAGTTACCCCGAGGTATTCGATCAAAGTCAAGCCAATGACGGTCTCGCCGCATTACCCCAACTGTTACCCCGATCAACTGGTAATGGACATGCCTGTCCAACAAGTGGTCATCACAATACAGCCGTTGCCCAGAGCGACTAACGTAGAATGTCAAGACGACGACGAGGATTCCGTTAGTATTTGTCGTAGTTACTCGCTGAACAACCACGCTAATGAGGATTAACAGGAGTATTCCTCAAGCACCAGCAGTCATGCATCAGAGGAGTCCCAAGAAGATGAGGAGGCATCCTTGCTCGACACTGACAGCGAAGCCACCGCTGTCAACTCAGACTCGGACGAAGTTCAGAGCGAATGGGAAGACGAAGACCCCTTTTACACGTATACTCTGCTCGACGACTCGACGATTCATACCTTGGAAGACGAGGACGATGATGAACCTCCTCCTGTAGTGGGACAGAAGAGGAAGAGGGAGGATTAGGTATAAATGCTATATTATATTTGGGTCAGGAATATCGTGAAGGCGCAAGTTGGACTCGGACAAAGTATGGTTGTTGATATACTTATGCTTATGGACTCTTCATGTACTTGGTCTTCTTGACTGCATAGCAGCTGCGTCTGCTGGTTATTTGCTATTTCATCCATACGTCTTGGTATCCATACTCTTTGCATAATAGCATGCGTTATTGTCCCCTACTGTAAAAATAATGTGCACAAGCTCGCCGCAATCAAAACGCCGTTCAGAACTTGAATGCATCTTAAAGCTGGGGTTGTGAGTTGCTGTGACTAAAGATTCGATGAGACCTTGGCCTTGAGATTAACATTGTAACTGGTATATTATTACGAGTGTCCTTCCCAAATTTAGCACCGACGATCTATTTGATTACCGCGGATGTTGAGCTGTGACCGACTTCGACCCCAGAACCGACGGAAAGACAGTCGCGGGGACGGGAGACGAGGCGCGTGTTCCCTTCATTCCTTCTACCACTCAAAGTACCTCGATTCAAACACTACATCTTTTGATGAACGCAATGTGCGTACTTCATTTCACCGTTGAAGAAATCGCACAAGGAACCTCAAATATTGGAAGGAGGGAGGACGCTCACCCTCCTATATCAATAATGCACAATTGCTATCACTGGTATACAAGACCCCCATCTAAATTTTGCACAACAAACATTGTTTTTGACCCCCCCTCCCATTCTCAGGGCACCCCACACCATCAAGTATTCACATTACCGCAAACCGTTCTACGACACCCTTCACAAGCTCCACATCAGGCCTTTCAACCTCTATCACGCGGCGCTCCATCGTTAGAAGCGTCTTAAACGCCTCGGGAAGCACCGAGTCAAAGTCAAAACCTGGCACGCCATCCAGCGCACTCGTGACCGCCTCAGAGAATTTTGCGGGGTGTGCAGTGGAAAGGATGATTTGGATGGTGTTGGGTGGGGGCGAACGGACACCAGCGACGTGCAGCCCTACTGCGGTGTGTGGGTCTGCGGTGTAGGATTGCGCGGAGGTGTAGTACTCCCGAATTGTTTGGCGGATCTATGTATTTCGTAACGTTGACTTGGCTCACGATGTAAAATTGAAATGTATGAGCGTACCTGTTTATCATCAACTCTCTCAGCAGTGAAATCCCTCCTCGCCAGCTCGAGCACTGAATCTGGGACGACGATGCGCCCGATAGATTTTACGTCGTCCATCCAGCCTTTCACCGTCTGACAGGCCTTCTCACGCAAGCCCCCTCCAGGATTGTTGTTCTGTACGTTCTCGAAGGCGAGGTACCACAACAGACGCTCGAAGTTGCTCGATACGAGGATATCCATGGCAGGCGAGAGAGTCTCTACCACACCCCCGACCGCAGGTGACGAGGAATCCGAGTCCACTTTTTCATATCGCCCCGTCTTCCAGAAGCGGGTGAGGATGTCATTGGCGTTTGTAGCGATAACAAGCTTAGCCATTGGCAGGCCCATGCGCTTAGCGTAGTAGCCTGCTAAGATGTCGCCGAAGTTACCAGTTGGGACGATGAATTGAAGCTCGGCATCGGTAGGGAGGATACGGCGGATGGCGAAGTAGGAGAGGAAGTAGTAAACTGTTTGGGCGAGAATGCGGGCCCAGTTTATGCTGTTGACGGCGCCGAGGTGGTGTTTTGCATTGAAGGCGGCATCAGCGAAGAGGGCTTTGACAATGTCCTGCGGATTTGTGTGTATGTAAGCTACTGGAGAAATAATTGAATACGAGGAAGAAACGCACCTGACAATCATCAAAGGTTCCCTTTACGGCAAGGTTGTGTACATTTGCATCTGTCACGGTAGTCATTTGAGCTTCTTGGACAGGGCTGACGCGACCCTTGGGGTGGAGAATGAATATGGAGATATCGGGCTTGCCCCGCAGCCCGTAAATAGCTGCGCTGCCTGTATCACCACTGGTGGCACCCACGACGGTCAACGTCTCCCTTTCCTCTCCAGGAGATTTTGCCTTGTTGCGGCGTTGGAGAAAGTAGGAGAAGAGGTTGCCTAGGAGCTGGAGTGCGACATCCTTAAAGGCATACGTAGGACCATGGAAAAGCTCGAGAATGTACTTGTTGGTGGTGAGTGGCTGGAGCGGGGTGATATCGGGATGGCGCCATGCGGAATCGTTGTACGTCGCATGTACAAGGGCAGCGAGGTCTGTTTGAGAGATCTCATCTGCAGATATGAAGAGGGAGAGGATCTCGATACTGAGCTCGGGAAAAGTCTTGTTCGCCCAGGAATCCTGCCAGTTAGTTGGGAGCTGTGGTATTGATGCAGGGATGTACAATCCACCATCTGGGGCGAGACCAGCAAGTACTGTCTATTAAAAATCTAGATCAATGGATTGGACATTGATGAGTTTGCTCACCTCTTCGAAAGTGAGCTCTGATAAGCCTCCACGAGTAGAAAAGTATTTCATATTTGATGATGGCTAGTTGGAAAGCGTTGGTATGTCAGCGAGCATTTGATCTAAGCGGGTACTAGGTGACTCGATCATATTCATCTATTAATCCTTCTAGTCTGCACACGACGTTGAAGACTACTTAGTGCTCATTCTGAAGGTCAAGGCGACCATGAACGTTTGAATAGTGAAAAGTTCTAATCGAATAGCTCAGGCAGTGATAGGCTACAGCCTTTGTTCAATCCAAGTTCCCCTATAAAAGGTAAGTATTCGAATGTTCTGGAATGTGTACGGTTTGAGAATTTCTGTGTATCGAAGGTTCTCGAATATCAAAAAAATCAGATACTTAAGGACCCTCCAGATAAACGCGTTCTTTACTGTAGTCATTCCCATCTTTTCCACTTCTTTCATACACCAATCCGTGAGCTCAATCTTCTGACGCGCCTTCTTAAACTAATCATGCCCCTCAGACCTAAATGGCAACCGAGAGCTTTGGATTCCAAGCTGAAATCAGTCAACTCCTTGACTTGATTATCAGTCAGTACTTTATATCATTCATGTTTCATCCTATTCTCAATGTTTGTCCCACTCAGACACCTTCTACTCGAACAAGGAGATCTTCCTTCGTGAGTTGATCTCGAACTGTTCAGATGCCATCGACAAAATCCGTTATGCTTCCTTGACCGAGCCCTCGGTTCTCGAAACCGAGAAGGACCTCTACATCCGCATCACTCCGGACAAGGAGAACAAGCTCCTCTCCATCCGTGATACCGGTGTCGGTATGACCAAAGCTGACTTGGTCAACAACCTTGGTACCATCGCCAAGTCTGGCACAAAGGTAACCTTCCTCAAATCATTCGTCTTGACTGATTTCTGACCCACGCCACTTAGGGTTTCATGGAGGCTCTCAGTTCCGGTGCCGACATTTCTATGATTGGTCAATTTGGTGTTGGTTTCTACTCCGCTTACCTTGTCGCCGAGCGTGTTCAGGTCATCTCAAAACACAATGATGACGAACAGTACATCTGGGAGTCAGCTGCAGGTGGCACCTTCACAATCACTCCTGATACAAACGGCGAACCTCTCGGTCGTGGTACTGAGATCCGCCTTTACCTCAAGGACGACCAGACTGAGTACCTTGAGGAGAAGAAGATCAAGGAGATCGTCAAGAAGCACTCCGAGTTCATCTCATACCCCATCCAACTCGCCGTCACCAAGGAGGTCGAGAAGGTAAGCCGATTACAGGTGTCTCTGATTGTGGCTCATGTGCGTACAGGAGGTTGAAGATGACGAGGAGGAACTCAAGGATGAGAAAGAAGAATCTAAGATCGAAGAGGTTGAGGACGATGAGAACAAGCCAAAAGAGAAGAAGACCAAGAAGATCAAGGAGACCGAGACCACCAACGAGGAGCTCAACAAGACGAAGCCCATCTGGACGCGTAATCCTCAGGACATCAATGCCGAGGAGTACGGTGCCTTCTACAAATCGCTCACAAACGATTGGGAGGAGCACCTCGCCGTCAAGCACTTCTCTGTCGAGGGTCAGCTTGAGTTCAAGGCAATCTTGTACATTCCAAAGCGGTCAGTATTATCTTCCTACATTCGATCACCTTGACTCACTTGGCTTTATAGCGCGCCTTTTGATCTCTTCGAGACCAAGAAGAAGCGCAACAACATCAAACTCTACGTTCGCCGCGTTTTCATCATGGACGACTGTGAAGACCTCATCCCCGAGTACCTCAACTTCGTCAAGGGTATCGTTGACTCCGAGGACTTGCCTCTTAACATCTCACGTGAGACCCTCCAACAAAACAAGATTCTCAAGGTCATTCGCAAGAACATCGTCAAGAAGTGCATGGACCTGTTCACCGAGATCTCGGAGGACAAGGACAACTTCAACAAGTTCTACGAGTCTTTCGGCAAGAACTTGAAGCTTGGTATTCACGAGGACGCTCAGAACCGTAGCAAGCTCGCTGAGTTCCTCCGCTTCTTCTCCACCAAGTCCCTCGAGGAACAGACTTCGCTCAAGGGTGAGTGAATCTTGCGTGTTCTGTCAGGACGGTTCCCTCACAATGTTTTCAGACTACATCACTCGTATGCCCGAGGTCCAGAAGTCCATCTACTACCTTACCGGTGAATCCCTCGCCGCTGTCCGCGACTCACCCTTCCTTGAAGTGCTCAAGAAGAAGGGCTTCGAAGTCCTACTTCTCGTTGACCCCATCGATGAGTACGCCGTAACGCAGCTGAAAGAGTTCGAGGGCAAGAAGCTTATTTGCGTCTCGAAAGAGGGCCTTGAGCTTGAGGAGACTGATGACGAGAAGAAAGTACGTGAAGAAGAGGCTGCTCAGTTCAACGACCTCTGCCAGACCATCAAGGAAGCCCTTGGCGACAAGGTTGAGAAGGTTGTCGTCTCCAACCGTATCACGGACTCTCCTTGCGTCCTTGTCACCGGCCAGTTCGGTTGGTCGTCCAACATGGTATGTATCGTCTTTTAAAACGCCGGGGCAAACCTCATTCACATGTCTACAGGAGCGTATCATGAAAGCACAAGCTCTTCGCGACTCTTCCATGTCTTCATACATGGCGTCCAAGAAGACCCTCGAGCTCAACCCCTCCAACGCCATCATCAAAGAACTCAAGCGCAAAGTCGCCGAGGACAAGGCTGATAAGTCTGTCCGTGACCTCACCTTCCTACTGTTCGAAACCGCACTCCTCACCTCTGGTTTCTCACTCGATGACCCCACATCATTCGCCAAGCGCATTAACCGTATGATCAGCTTGGGTCTCGATGTCGACGAAGAAGACGAAGAATCGGCACCGGCTGAAGACTCTAGTGCGCCCCCTCCATTGGAAGCCGTGTCGACGTCGGCGATGGAGGAGATCGACTAGATGTTCAACATTTTTCCATATAATTGTGTACTCTAATTAGCTTGCATCATATCATCGTCATGGTCGTCGCTGCATTTTTTTCTGTCTTTTTGGTCGCATTTACGAAACAATAACTAAAAGTTCTTTAGTATGTTCATGAATAAAAAGCATTTCACTCGAAAGGTTATCTAGCCAGTCTCGATACACACAACGCATCGTCCGCGCGTCAGCAATTGTAAGCATCATAATATTAACATGCCCAATGGAACGCACACTTCAGTTGCCTTTGACAAACTAAGTTTGAATGTGACAGCAGGGAACGAGAATGTTATCATTTCTTCATCACGTGGGAATCGGCAAGCAGGCGTGAGAGTTTCAGTTATCTCACCGTATGATATCAGCGGAAGATGGCCCAAGGCCTGGAGAATGAGTGCAAGCGGCTGGATCTGAGTTCCGGTCGTCCAAGGTTGCCAGGATTGTGCCTGGGCGTTACGTCCATGGTGCACGCGATGAGCGAGTACCTACTCATCGCTTGGAAATGGCTTCAGTGTCGGCCGCCACAGGGTACGTGCGGTCACAAGATGACAGTTTTGTCGGTTTGTCGCGTTGCAGACGACGGTTTGCGGAGACAGTGTCCTGGGTGAGTATGGGTCAAAGACAAGACAGAGAATGGACTCCGGTGCATGAGCGGACTCTAGTGTTACGCTGGGCCGACGGACTCTCATCGATAGGAATGCGTTGTGAGGATTTCGCAAAAGTGGTATGCTCAAGTATGGAATAGCGAGGAATATCATAACGTTGATAGAGCGTTGGTCATCTAGATGAAAAATATGATAAGCAAAAGGCAAAACGTGTACCACGCCATTGGCAGTGGGGGAAAGGTGGGATCAACGTCAGCGGGCGGTGTCAACGTCAACGATGAGTTCCTGTAGAGCGGACTAAGTAGCGCATAGCAAAAGCCCGGCTCTGCCGCAATCAGCAAATAAGGTGTTGACAGACTTGGATTCTTCTAGGTTTCAGGTTTTATTCCAAAAACTGAGATCAAAGAAGAACCTGAGGCTGTACCACCGTGACCCAAAATATCCGCGGAATTACACTTACCTGGAGAAACGCGGAGGTCTACGTCAAGTATCGTAATTAATCCCCATGGTGGGCGCAGAGCTACCGTGATTGACCCAGGGCTGTCCGACGGGGTACTAATTGCTGTGTTCCTGATCTGCGATAATTCATGCGTGCAGATGATCCTTCCGTTATGAAGAAAAGGTATTGTTTTCTTTTCCAAAGTGGCAAAAAAACTCTTCATGGAGTCTGAACGCAGATCTACCGACGTCTTATCAGCTTGGAAGGGTATGAACACAAACTTACAGGTATCGCCTCTTATCGATACTCTGGGGGACATGTAGGGTCCTCATGACTCTCGATAATTATAAATTTGTGTCGTGGTATCACGGCATGAATTTTTTGACAGGACCAGTGGTACTGTCGTTGAATCCGGTGAGTTGGGGTAGTATCACACACCCATACGTTCCTAAAATGCATAAAAATAAAAATATCACCGACTAGAATGAGATGAGAAACTCACGCGAGTCATACCGGCACCCTTGGTGTGTGATGAAAAGTGGCAAAGCGTGTGGACAAGGCGAGTCAGGTTTCCCTTTTTGGGAAGGTTAGGAGCGGTAACCTCGAGGCTTCGAAACACACCCTAATCGCCTGTTTACAGCTTTTCCATTGTTCCCATTCATTTTAGTACCACAATAATGGTTCATTTGCCTTGCGCTGGCCAAACATAAAGCTTTGCCACGTTCTTTTGGCCCTCTGTATCTTTATTTGCCCTCCAACGACACCAACGACATTGTCCACAATCTTCAAGAATGCCATCAATAATTGCCCCATCACCACGACGCGTCACCCAAGCCTTATTTCAAGACGCGCTACAGTCTCCTTCCCCGGAGACGCGTCAATCCCACGTCCCACCAACAGTAATTTCTGTAGGTCCCTTGGCAATTCTCTAGCTCTCAAATCGAGTTGACTTGTGCGTCAGGAAATTTTACCCTCGCGAATGCTTTTAAGTCCCCCGCGACTGCTGTCGCCAATCACACTCAATGAACCTCGTGTTTTGTCTCGGGTCAGTTTTTGCGCATTTTTATTGTATTTTATTCGAGCGGTGTTGATGCGTGCGTATCTCCTAGAAATCAAAGTCACCGATGCCTTGTGGTGCTGCAGTAAGGCGAGGGTCTACCCGTACCACTCGCTCCATGAATAAACGCCGTCGTTTTCCCCCTCGTATCGAGTCGCCTCTCGATGTATATAGCCGTGTTCCTATGTTTGATTGTCTCCCATGGATCTCCGCCATGGAGTACCCTCCGCGGTTCGATCTTTGCGACACAGCAGATCTGTCTCTTCTGCCCGCACTTGGCGCTGAAGAACCCACATTCTCAGACGCAATCCCTGCGTCTGGACCGGTGCGCCGCCGCAAGTCATCACTCCGTTCAAACCCTCTTGGAAATAATTCAGAGTTGGAATCGCCATCAAGACAAAATTTTCCTTTCCAATCCCCCCGCTGTGATCAGGAGCGTCTCAAGACCCCGCCCCCTAGGATACCTTTTGACCCCACACAAGTCACTTTCTACAACCTCATGCCAGTCTTTCCGCATGGAGCTGCCAATAGCCCCTCGTAGTTGCGCTGACTCATACGTGGCCATGCGTTCCCGACTCCGTCGTCTGATATTCTACCATCTGCAAAGCACTTGTACCGCCATCTTACCTGCATCTTCCTATAATAATGGGGATTACTCGCGCCCATCGTCAGTACTCACTGCGCCATCTCAACGAACACCATGTATTCTGCTACGAATCTGCTCAATCATCCATTGCACGATCTTTATTTTCGCTTTCGTCATGGACTACGCTCTGCCTTGGATCAGCGATAGCTGTTCTTATCAGGCCTTCTTTGTATCTGAAATAGTATCTATTTGTACCTGCTCTCTGCGCTTTCGCACCACCGACCTCTGCTCGCTGCTCCTGCTTTACAGAGCCCTACTTCGATAGTTGCACCTGATCTCTGTTATCATTATATCTCCATTACCATCTTTCAAGTTTCTTTCCCAGTATCTCGAATCCTCCTGATGCTATTACTTCGTTTTCCAACTGCATATCACGTTACGATACGATACGATAGACAAACAATATATTATATGTATGTGTATCTTTTCGAAATTTTGGTCCGTTCGCCAAATGCAAATATCACATAATATTTGGTCACGTGCACAAACTGTACAGTTGCTTCAAGAACTATCCCACGCATCATCCCTGTAGATTGCACATCGCACACCATAGCTAAAATCTCGATCTCGCAATGGAAAACGACCAGGTTTGTATTGACTTCGCCATGCTGCATCCTAGTCTTACCGCTTACCTTGGTATTAGGGCGTTCTTGTTGACCTCTACGTCCCCCGCAAGTGTGCGGCCACCAGTATGTTTTGAGCCAGACACCGTCTTAGAGCATTAACCCATCCATGACTCAGACCGCCTAATTACCTCCAAGGACCACGCTTCGGTCCAGATCAACGTCGCCGATGTTGACTCCAACGGCCGTGCCCTGAACACTTACACCTCGTTTGCGCTCTGTGGACAAGTGCGATCACAAGGGGAGAGCGATGACTCTGTTAACCGGCTAGCAACGAGGGCGGGTTGTAAGTCTTGTTCTCTATGATTCATTGGTCTGGACTGGACTGATAGTTTGTTCTTATAGTGCTCCGGAATGTGTGGTCGTACCAAAAATAAACGTTGTTGTGTTAGAGCGTTCGTCATATCATCATTTTACTTGCTCTGTTGAAGTTGTAACCTGTGGGGTGAATACCTTTATGCCCATGTTAAGTGCAAGCACACTACGTATGCTCGTGGACCAAAACGATTGGCGTTTAACGAACAAAACTGCAACAATCTTGCATCTTAACCTACAAAAGGGTGTCTCAGACAGCCCTACAGTCTAATACTAACCTCGCTGCTTACCACCCTCCGTATATATATACACACTACTGTCACAGTTTGACTAACAGATCTCGACTGTTATCGGTGTTTAGACGGAAATATTCTTCCTGCGCGAGCCCATCTTTGAACAGTAAAAAATACCTGCTCTGGAAGAACGTTTTTTTCCCGTGGTGTACTTCGAAAAGCGTGGCCGAGGTTGATAGTCCATAGATACTAAACGAAGTGAACAACGTTTTTTTGAAATTCAGTGAACGTACTAGTACTACTGGAATTGTGGCAAACTGCGGGAGGACTACAAATTGAGATTTGGCGTATTCACACTCAGTAGAATCACGCAGCCGCAGTACAACGAACACTAAATAGAAATCCGCGGTTCAAGTACTGATGCGTATGAGCGAGAATCATCGTGCTTGTGACTCTGACGGTTCCTTGTCCATAATTTCAGTGAGTTGCTGCTAGTTGGCCTTGTGGTATGCTGACCCAAGCCCCTTTCATTAGTCCGATTCCATGGTTGAGATTCAGCGTACCCAAAGCGAGAGTAGTGGTTCATTATCCCCTTCTGCAGTGGAGGAGAGCAAATATCGCCTTCTCTATAGTAAATCCAGAGTCTACGTTAATCCAACCGCATACGCTAGAGATAACATCCCGGGCTTCGTAGCTCTTGTCAAACGCGTGAGTAGCCAGGTCTCGTCTCGCATTCCTCTCATGCATTTTTGCTGCCTAGGAGGCTGTCAATCCTACCTATCTGCTTGCATGGATTCCAGAGACACTGCTGTGCGAGAAGGGAACCGACGAATGGGACAAGTTTGTGAGGATTGAGGAGAAGGCCATGTTGGATGAGGAGGATGAAGGTCCGCAGCCTTTTTCTCTGTTTGAACCCCGGAAATCTTACACCATTCAAAGATGCGGTCCTTATCGACCTTCCTACACAAAGACCAGAGTCCTATGCATTCTCGGTTCCTCTGACTTCGATATACTCTCTTCTTGTCCATCCACCTACCCTTTCATCATGGCGTACGTTCTCATGTTGTCTTTGGACATTGACAAGGCTAAGCTAATCAACAACAGATGGTACTATCGGTATAAACCTCATAAACAGTTCCACGCTCCCAACTCTGCACTTCCACGATGACGAGTCGTTTTCAACGACACTACCGTTTCGATATAGTAAAAGCAACTCCACTGGTGCATACCCTCCCACATCATTACCATCGTCTTCTCGAACCTCAACCTCATGGGGAGGCGAGGATTTGCTCTCTCGTCTACGACCTTATGCCCATCTACTCCGCTCCACACTCCAGCCTTCCTTGTTTATCGTCGACCCATCTAAAGCCGACATTGACACGCACACCACTCAGATATTTGACGACGACGCTGTGGATGATATCCTTGCGCAGTCATCGTATGCTTCTTCGCACTCACCTGTACCTGCTCACAGACGCCCACGTCCATTACACAGTGTTCCTGCAAATACATCTAATCAACATCCCACTCGTCCATCCGTTTTGCATCGCTCTCTTTACCCACCCTCCATTTCCACCACACAATCCAGCTCTCATGCACGGATGGCGCTGCTGCAATCCTTTTCAAATATCACTAGAGCGACGCGCCACGCCGCGCAAAACATTCTCTCTCATCCTCTCGCTAAGCCTATCGTCCCGCATCTCCCAGACCCTGTCAAGAGTCTAGTCAATGCCAATGGCGACTTGGAATGGGGTAGTTGGGTGGAGAAAGGGGGCGTTGGTGAGTTTGAGAGTGCGAGGGTGTATCTTGCTCGCTGGGCCCGCATAGTTGCTGAAGAGGGCGATCGAGCACGTAAACGAGAGGCTCAGGCACTGCCCTCCTCCTCAGATGTGGTTGAGGAAATATCTCCGCTGGGTGTGTTCGAGCTTCTTCACTCCACGATCAACCTTCCCTCTCCAAAAACTTCTCGAGACCCGGCACACCCAATAGATGAGGCGCTTTGGGCGAAGTGGTTTGATAAGGACGGACGACCGAAAGTCAGGCTCGAAGAGATGAAGTGCCAGGTCTTCAGGAGAGGCATCACTCCTTATGGAAACCTGAGGAAGAAAATGTGGCCCTTCATACTTGGTGTCCACGAATGGGACATAACTGATAGTGAGAGGGAAGCGAAATGGGAGGAGAAGAGGTAATATTGCCTTCAACACCATCTCCATACCTTCTGACTTGTTATGTAGAAAGCGATACTGTGAGATCAAGGATGAGTGGTGTGGTGTGCCCGAGGTCTTTGACAGGCCGGATGTCCTCGAAGAACGTCACCGCATTGATGTAGATTGTCGCCGCACAGACCGCACTCAGCCACTGTTCTCTACTTCCTATGAGGATACCGCTGACAATGGCTCAAATGGGGATCGTCGGTACACAACGATCTCTCCCCAGATGTCGGACATCGGTGCACAATCTCCCAGTAATGAACATATCGATCGTCTCGCAGGCATTCTCCTCACATACAATTTCTACAATAAAGAGCTTGGTGAGCGCATTTGGAATACTACATTTGTATGTGGTATCTAATGAAGGGAATGAGGGTATGTACAGGGCATGTCGGACCTTTGCGCTCCTTTGTACGTTGCGATGGGTTCCGACGAGGAGCTGACCTTCTGGTGCTTTGTGGAAGTAATGGATCGTATGGCGAGTACATCTGAAACTTGACAAAGATTCTGTCTCTAACATTCACAGCAGATTCAAAATTTCCTTCGGGATCAGAGTGGAATGAAGAAACAACTCTCAACGCTCCAAGAACTTATCAGTGTCATGGATCCTGATCTATATCGACATTTAGGTCAGTAAATCTATTTTCTGTGTTTATAACTACCCTGACTCTCATTTGCTACAGAAAAAACTGACGGGCTCAATTTGTTCTTTTGCTTCCGGTAAGTCTTCAGCAAACCGCAGACAAAAAGTCCCTGACGTTGTTTATCCCAGATGGGTCCTCATCGCTTTTAAACGTGAATTCCCTTTTGACGATGTCTTGCGTCTATGGGAAGTGTTGTGGACGGACTATTACAGCAATGAATTCGTTATCTTCGTCGCTTTAGCAATCTTGGAGTCCCATCGGGACATGATCCTACGGTATCTCGTAGAGGTGCGTGCCTTGCTTGCCTGCGGTGCAACTTCCTTTCTTACCGGGTATTCGACCAGTTTGACGAGATCCTGAAGTATTGCAATGAGCTCAGCATGACCATTGAACTCGATTCTACTCTTGCCCAAGCAGAGGTCCTCTTCCTGTCATTTGCTCAGCTCGTTGCAGACATCGACAGAAGGCGAGCGGAGGAAGCCACTGATTCTACTAGTAGCGTGCTACGGCAACGAGGGACATCTTCCTCAGAAGGAAAGGCGTCTCTGTCAAAGGTAGCCATGCCTACTCTGAGCGACAACCTTAGGGACTTGTTAAAGACTGGGCGCTGAATCGGACGAGTGGGAACATTGATTTATATAGTGTAGTCGTGCGGCATAACTGATACTGTAATGCACGTGTATAATACCGTCAAATCCTTGCTCGAATCTGCGAGTTCCAGTGCACGTCAGTCTTATGGTTACATATAAATCAGTGCCACTCCTGCTGGTGGCTGGAACTTCCAGTTTAGTGCGTTTGGCCATGAAGGTGCCGATGTGATGTTCCGTCCCTCGTGATGTCACATGTATGAGAGTAATAATTTAGGGCTGCCCAGTGTTGAGCCAGAATTAAGCATGCTGCATGTGGCGTAGCTGCGGTTTGATAACAACCAGATTAATTTGAACGGCTACAAGATGCAGCAAAAAAGTTAGCTATGGAATAATGTGACTAGCGCGCAGGACTTACGAGGCCTCTGCATTCTTCTTTTGGTCCGGGAAGAACACTGGGCCATAATCAATGAGGATCTCGGTTCCAGCGTCAATGTTCGTAACTGTGTCAGTTATCAGCATTCCGCGTCCGCGATAGTAGGGAAACCATCTGACTCGCAAATATTCCTATACGGTGTTCTCCATTCACAAGTCGCGCTGTCGGATGTTTGAGATGAGTTATCGAGATGGAAATCAAGAGATACAGACATTACACACCAAAAGCGCGACAATTACACTGCGTTTCGCTACTGACATCACTAGCGCCTGAATGGTTGATGAATCTCGACATGTTGCCTGCACGCGAACTATCCAGGGATAGCGCGTTGTTGAGACCAAAGACATAACTTCGTCCAAGGTGCTCTGCAACCTCTCTATCAACTCAGTGAGCTACGGGAAATTTCAGGGATGAACACTGCTCACCCGCGACTGTCAAATGTCATTTCGTATATAAGCTCCCCGACGTATTCCACGATCAATTCACCCTGTTTGGCCAGTTCGAGGAGGAATACACCTGCGCCCCAGCGACTTTCCTTGACCTCCAGTTTCTATAATCGTGGATAGAGTTATTCGTACGGTCTGGTGTGTTAAATGTAGATGTATACCTTGAAATGGCCTTGTTGAATCTGCGAGTTCCCGCAAGTACTCGTTCCCGGGTCTTCAACTCAGTTAGACACATCCAACCCTTGCTGAATACTACGTAACATACCTCTGCCAAGAGCAAGATATTAATGGGCGAATCACAACATAGAAGATAGTCGGTATCACGCACCGACATCCGCATTTTACGCAAAGCTCTGGATCACACTCACGTCGAGCTTTGAGGCAAGAGCATTGCTTGACCTTCACACAGCTCATCCCATCGCGTGCTTTGGCACAGCGACAACCTTTCCATCTCCGAGCACCTGGTAAAAAGTAGCATTAAACCTCGTGCTGGTGGCAACACAGACATAAACATACATTTTCCAGGGCAACGGCAGTTTCGCTGGCAATGAGCCTTGTTCTTAAAACATAAACAGTCAGATAAAACATCGCATGGTCCAGAGTGATGACAAGGTTCGTTCCTGTGGAAAGTATCCAGTACAGCATTCGATACTTACGCAATAAGGGCACGCACGGTGTGAACTTGAGCGGATCACGATCTATCTCGTGCGGAGCGTCGGTAAAGTAACACGTGTCCACAATACAATCGCCCCTACCTTGAAATTCCAGAGATCGCGACTTCCCCTTGCGTTCCCCATTTGGGCACTCAGTCTGAAGCTCGTCGAAATCTGGATATAGTAATCTGCGATAATAAAGGATCTGAACCACAGTCAGATCAAGGAAAGCTCTCATCATTTTCATGCGGACAAACCTCATGGCAAGGCTTGAAGCATAATTCAGCATGGTCACAAGGTATCATATCTGGTTCAATATCTAAGATGCTCTTGAACGAATCAATGTCATCTTCACTCCAGCGAGGGACTACCTCGACCGTCCTGCTCTGCAAGAAACAGCCAGCATCGCAGGGGTGTTCTACACGTTTCAGTAGCTCTGACAGCCGGATAGTCTGCTTACGGGGTGGCGACACAGGGTTTGTTTCAACTGCAAATTAAACTGTTTGGGCGTCAAAAAGGAAAAACAATTTGGAAGCCATACCATGAACAGGGCACAGGGGCTCAATACAGTTGAGGTTAGGACAAAACAATGCATGAGTGAGCTCAAGCCGATGTTGAAGAATACCGTGAGATGGCGATGAAGAAGGAAAGCTGTAGGAACAAGGAATGGTGGTCCCGTTCCATTTGAGTAGATCACTGTACGTTTATTCAAAGTTTGGATGCGAGCACGAAAAATGATCGGAAACCCCCATACCGACGACGACTCAGGGTAAACAGTCCAGGTTTTCCTGGAGTTGAGAAAAGCTTGAAGGGAAGGACCCCTGTGCTATCTGTGTCCTGATACAGTAGACTGTGAACCGTACGGAGGCGATAGGCTGCCTCTAAAGAAATAACTTCTACTATTCACAATAATGATGCTTCATCACACGCGGTGAATGATAAATACTCACAATCTGGATCATAATCACCATCTTGCCATGCAAAGGAGCCATAACACAGTGTATGATCTACGTGGTCGAAGGTTGGATCATCCGCATATGGTATGAACGGCATCATATCGTCATCATCTCCCCTAAAGATATTCCTTGAGATGGGAGTGCAATATTCATAGGGTTTGTGTGGCTCAAAAAGCTCGGTATGTACTACTTGAAGAGATATCGTGGAAGTTGATCTTGGAGTTCCATCTTCAGAGTAAGAGGTCAATGCAACCATTCTTTCCGTGTCGCCGTCCGGACCCCCACCGGCCTTACCGACGGCATGGAGAGGTGTGCTATCGCCATCTGGTATCGGAACACGTGGACTTGATGTGGCATGGGACAGAGAGCGGATGAAATGCTCGCAGTAATTGACTTTCCAGCCACTGAATTCGGCCAGAACCTCTGCAAAGACTGTTTGCACCAGCTTATGAATCGGTGAATCATCACTTGGCTGCAACGCCTGCTCGTTCGCTTGCACAATCGAAGTGAGCGACATTTGTGTCTTTTGTAAATAATATGTGTAGTCGAGGGTGAGGTAAAACTGTAATATGTCACGGTCACAACACCCATGAATTGTGACATACGTGTCTTCGTGACAGCCGGCTCACCAACTCCCCTAACGCAACGCCGAGAGTGTGAGGCACATCATGTCCAGCGCCAACATGACCATTTTTCGCGCCTACGCGCAAAAGTCTAATCCTGCCAGTTTGCCTCCATCAATTCTCTTCTCACATTCCGAGACGTGTTTGACGGTTTTTGATGCATTTCCGAAATCGATCTTCCATTTGCTCGTTATACCTCGTGTCAGGCCACCCTTCAATGTGTACCAACTCGCTAATCTACGTTCATTGCTCAAATGCGAGAAAAACTGCGCCAAGGAACTCCTCATGGGTCTAAGCCGAGAAGCGAACAATGTCAAGAAAATGATTGAAAGTGAGATGTTCAAGAAGTATGGATTCAAGTGGGAAATATGGATGGGCTTCCATGCAATACCTAGCATGGAGTAAGTCTCGATTGGTCAATCTTCTGACGCACTCATATATATGTATTTCTAGACATCTTCATCTCCACGTACTTTCTGCTGACCTATGTTCTCCGAGAATGAAGTTGAAGAAACACTACAACTCCTTCCATCCAAAGTGCGGCTTTTTTATTCATTTGAGCGATGTTCTCTCTTGGTTCGATGCCGACCCGTCGTATTATAAAACAGTGAGTTGTTTGTACTTCGCTGCCGTACATTCTCCGCGGCGCTGACTGCTGCCACGACTCTAGACCTCTCAACTCAAGAAGAGTGAATATGAACCTTTATTGAAGGAAGATCTCTCTTGCTGGAAATGCGATCGCAACCTTTCGAACATGCCTAAACTAAAGTCACACTTGCAAGAGGAATTCGACAAACTGTCCGATCAAGAGAAGGCAAAGGTAGAAAGAGAGAGGAAACGTTCTGATGATCTTGCACAAACATCTTCATCCCAAATATCACTGAATGATGACGATTCGCTGCAGTATGAATTGGTCCGTGAGAGCGAGGAGGAGCGAGGACCCCATAGTGAAAACTAAACTTCACTTATGTGCGCTATCCAGTAAGCCGGTCATTGACTCGAAATTTTTCGTACCACATGTTTTCTGTAACTCTAATTCTATGATTTCCCGAACTTCGCGCGACACTGCGTCGGACGCCGTGGTATATCATTCAGATTTCGATTTCACCCGATAAAGTCTATTTTTTGCTATTTCGGTCGGGCTGTCAGTATCATGGGATCCCCAGGCGCCCCGCCTTCCGATAGATATATAAACTGGCTACCAGATAAATGAGTTAACATCAGCTTTGACAGAAATTATGACATCCTTCACACTTCGCTGGGGCATCATCTCTACGGGTTGGATCGCAGAACAAGTTGTTTCGGTGAGAAATAGAACTTCGTATCATGATCGCGTGAGTTATTGACCCCTGCTTGCCGTCAAGGATTTGCTTGTTGATCCTACCACGTACGAGCACATGTATTTTCTTTGAAAGTGAGACTGACGAGTTTCCTCAGGCGTGATACCAATGATGTGGTGCACAAAGTGACTGCTGTAGGCTCCCGAAGCGTTGATAAGGCCCAGAAGTTTATCAATGAGTTTGTGAACGGCGACAAAACCGTAAAGGCGTATGGAACGTATGACGAAGTCTATGCAGATAAAGTTCGTGGATCACTTTCGTCGAGTCTATTTGCCTCTTGTTGACATCATTCAAGAATGTAGACGCTATTTACATAGGTATGAGTTATCCAAACTATGACCACCAACAAAATCAATATTCGGCCTTACTTAGGTACACCCCACACGTACCATTACACAAACGCTTTGGATGCGCTCAAGGCAAAAAAGCATGTACTATGCGAGAAACCAGTGACCTGCAACGCTGCCGAACTGCGTTCACTCATCGCAACGGCGAAAGAGAATGGGGTTTTCTTCATGGAGGCACTGTGGACGCGTTTTCAGCCACTCGCGAAGGAAGTCAAAGAGCTTATCGACTCCGGTACACTTGGCCTGCCTGTGGTTGTCCATGCTGATTTCTCCGTCGACTTTGGCATTGACAGTGAGTAACCCTGCTTGTATCGCGATATCCGTTTGAACATCACTCGCAGAATTGCCCTTGACTCATCGCATGCTCGATCCCAAGCTCGGTGGGGGTGCGATTCTTGACCTGTGAGTGCGATATGTTCCCTTCGAGTGCCAGTTTAACCTAAAGTGACATAGTGGTCCGTATCCTCTAATCTGGGTATGTGCCGGTTGACTACATGGTATCCTCTGCTTAAGTCTATCATGCAGACAATTCTTGCACTCTACGAGCACCCCGCCAATAAGCGCACGAAACCTTCAAACATCACCGGTACAATGTACAAAACACCGATTACGGGCGTCGACTGCAACACGTCATATATCGTCACTTTCTCTCCCAACTCCAGTACAGGCTCTACTCTCGCTGCACAGGCAGTCCTGAGCTGTAGTATGAACGTAGCATCCCACAACCCAGGCGTCACCGTTCGATTTGAGAAAGGGACTATCATGATTGACGCGCCCGTACCTTGTCCTCTCAGGTATACCGTACAATACTTCAAAGAGGGCAAGCCGGGCGAAATCGCGCGCGAGGATACCCGGACGTTTGAGTACGTCGGTTCGGGCTGGCATTTCCAGGCCGATGAGGTTGCACGATGCATCAGAGACGGGAAGCTTGAGAGTGAACTGTGGAGTCATGACAAGAGCATTTTGGAAATGGAAGTTTTCGATGAGGTGAGTGTGCATAATTGGGTTCCCTGTCCAAGTTCTGGTCTGATACATGCGTCGCAGGTTCGCCGCCAGGGAGGCTACAAATTTCCTGACGGCATTGAGAAGGTGCTACTATAGGATTGTCATGAAATCGGTCAGGCAAGGAACAATAGAATCACAAGACATTATGTGAGTTGTACACACCACCATCTATACTATTTACAATACTACTTTACAACGAGTCGGAACGATATCTTCGCTCCAAGATTCCCAGCCCAGGTATGTGCCATCTTATTCAGCCTCGCCTTCCTCTTCAAACACGGTGGCAGCAGCTTTGCTTGCGGCAAGTCTAGCAGCGCGAGAACGCTCGCTGGCCTCCCGGATGGCCCACGTAAGTTCGTAAGTTCTGCAAGCGTCTGCAACGAATAACGTCAGATCGTGAATGAGTGACAAGTCTACCTGGAAATGTACCTTCGTAGGAGCTCAGGATCTGAGCAGCCTCAGGGTCCTCTTCGATGTCCTCGATGATGTCAATCCAGTTGGATACCTGAGCCATGTATGTGTCTAGTTCCTCTTCAAGGATGTCACTACTTACCTCGGAGAAGAATGGGTCGTCATCGGGGAAGGTATACATTTGTTCGTGATCATCGCCGGGCTTGCGGACATACAACACAGGCTGAACGTAAGGGTTGACGAGCCTAGGAATATCATGAGAGGGTGATGCAGTAAGTTTGAATAGGAGCATACTTGAGGGAGTAGCCATCGGCATGGACCTCGAGCTCACAGCTGTAGTTGTGCCCTTGGAGGGTCACAGTGTGAATGAAACTGCCAACCGCACCGGAATCATATTTCCTATTATCATGTTAGCATCTAGCTTCTGGAACATAACAACGCATCTTTACCAAGTAGCGGCGGTAACACGGGGAATCCTGTTCTCCGGGGCAATCTTGCTTTCGTCAACGCGCACCTTGGAGAGATGGCCAGCATTCTCGTCCCAGTCAAGAGAATGAGCGGCGACGGAGGCTATGTCAACTTCTCCACCAAAGTACCGCGAGAGATCGCAGAAATGGGTCCCCTGCTCGATAACGGGACCAGCACTAATGAATTAAAGTCTGTTATTGACTTACACATTCTAGACCAGAACTCAGCTCACCTCTTGGATTTATCCCACCAGTCAGGTTTCGCGATCGCCTCGTAAGCACATGCATAACGAGCAATTGTGACCATCACGGTAAGCCCGTTCTCCTGGATGATCTGTTTCATCTTCTGAACAGCTTTCAGGTACCTTAGCATGTACCTGTGCAGGATAGGTTATTTCATTTATTGAGCCAACTATCTATAAACGTACCCGACGGAACAGATGGCCCCAGAGTCAGAGATCGCCTTTGAAATCTGGAAGGACTGCTCCAGCTCATGCTTTGGACCGGTCGCTATGGGCTTCTCCATGAAGATGGCCACGCCAGGGAAGTATTTCAGAATTTGCATCTCGATGTCGCGACCCGGTTGGAGGGTTCCGCGGAACATTGGAGGAGAACCGACGACAATGGCGCGAGGACGGTCCTTTTGGGACATGTTCTTAACAAAGTCCTCGAGGGTCTTGAACACACGCGTTGCCTGGTACGCGGAAATGACGAAGGAGTCGCATTTCTTTTGGAGTACGGCAGTTGCACGCTCGATCGCAGGATCGATGAGGGCAACTACTTTAAGACGCAGACCGAGCTTACTGTGATGGTTTTTAGGTGGCAGAGCAGGTGGAGACAAGGGGGAGGACTTACTGCTCGAAGCGGAAAGAGTGATTCCAGGGTCCTTCATCGGATCCTGGGGTAGCGGGGATGAGTCAGGTACCCGCAAGGTACGGATATGACACTAGCAGAACTCACCAAACATGATATTTCCTGCACCGATAAAGACGACATTGAAATCATTGGTGCCGCCTACATGCGTAGTTCTATTGGAGAAATATCAGTGATCGGATCATACAGATTGGAGGGTACTGACTTATCCATCGGAATCAGCCTCGATGGGTCGATAGAAGGGCGTCTGGATTGACCAGACGAATATCCTGAACCACGCCTATCGGGAGGCCTTCGTTCTGAGCCTCGACGAGAGGCAGGCTGTTTTGTGGAGGTCATCTCAAGGGTTGACGAAAGTCTGCGTGTGGAGGCCATCCTGTCGATTTTGAGATAACGACGGGGGGATCGGAATGGAGTAAGTATTGGAAAGCTGCGCTCTTTATAGCAGTGTGGAGAAGATAGGACCAATTAGTAATATGTGCGGCAGACGCAGTATAGTACTCAAGGAACAATTGCAACGAGACGGCAGGCGCCAGGACATCACTACGGTACACACGCCGGCAGCGCTGTTGCTTATTCGCACCCTGTCACCGGTACCCGGTGTGTGCACGACCGTGGTCCGATTTCTGGACGTTGTAAACTCGGACCATAAAGCGTGGTGTCATGCACGCTTCGTACCTCATCGGATGTAAATCGGATAGTATGTCTAAATAATGCTTATAACAACGACAGGGCAAGGAGAGCAACGATGTGGGAAGGAATGAGGGGTATCAAGGGGTTAAACTGAGTATTAGAGTCCATTTAAAGCTGGTCTTGCCAGCATATGCAAAATGAATGAAAGAGGGACGAATTCTATGACCTGTTGGATTGTGCCGTGTTGTTCTGTTGTTGCTTCGGAAATCTGCTAGCTAACTCCTGACGTTTGCGTTCAGCAGCTTCTAAGCGAGCAGTCATTGCTCTAAGCTCTTCTTTCAGCTTCTCATTCTCCTGAGTTAGCTTCATCACGTTACTAGCTCGCTTCTGGACTTTCTCGGCCCTGTGAGGTTACCGTGACTGACCGTCCCTGTATTGGGCAATCGAGGATATGATCCGACTCACTGTGGTTCTGAAAATTTTGAAAAACCCATGATCGTGTCAAAGGAAAAAGCGAGATCAAGTTCCGCTGGTGGAATCTCTGGGAGAGCAGGAGAAGGACTCGGAGTTTCTGAACGAAGCCTGTACCGTTGAGACGGTGGCTCTAGGCGATTAATTGAAAGGCTAACGATTCAAATGAGCGAATCTATGTACTCGCATATGCTCTCTTTATCGCACCTAGAAGTGTTTACTGAATCCATGCTGAAGAGAGAAATGTCAAACCAACATCATCATCAGCCACAACCCTCAAAACCCATGACTTATCCAACATCGGTATATAGTTCTCACGTATATTTTAAAAAGGAAATATATTCTCATGACTAATTGTCATTCGGAGTTATTAATTACAAGTGGGTCAATGACATTAGCGTTTAGCTTCAGCTCCCTCTTTCCTTTGACCCATTTACTTCCTTCTCTTCGCTGGCGCTGTCGTTGACGACGACTACATGCCAAATTTGATGTCAACCGTCATTGACGGTCACGACGTGCTGGCGGCTAATGACCATATTCTAGGTCACCATGACTCTCACACAAATGACGCCGACATTCACGACCTCAGCATTCCGTCTGCTCACTTTCACAACTCTATTGGCAGTACCGTCCCTGTATCTATTAATGGATCCCACAATGTGTATTATAACTCTTACGCCGATACGTCCTTCCAGGACATCGGTCCATATCCCTACCCCTTGCAGCAAGGTCATGTGCCGGATGCTCAACTCGACCTCCAATATATCCTGTCCTCGGATATGTCACATCCACACCCCAACGATTTTATACATGATCATCCCCAGTTGCAAACAAAGCACTTCCAACAATCGCAGAATCTTTCTTCCTTAGGTCCTCCTTCTGACCCTGAGTCACAACCTCAGTCCTCTCCCTCAATTTCATCTTCAGCTAGCTTTGCACATGCCCTCCACGATTTGTCACGTTCTCCAGATAATGCTCCAACTCCATATACTCCATCATCACCCCTAAAAGTTGCCAGATACGCTCACGCAATGCTACCGCCCATTGTCCATTCAAGTCCCTCTAATGCTAGAAAGGATGAAACTGATGTGCGTTCTAGTATATTCTGATGTGCCTATCATCTGATGGTTTCCTTAGAGTCGTTCCGTTAACAAACGCCTAAACTCCGGCGCGGCATCACAGGTCGACCCCTATGCGTCCGCATTTTTGCGCGACCAGCTAGGGGAACCAAAATGGAACACGTTTTATGCACGGTTATTCGAACGTAGACTCGGTCCTATCAAGTCTAAGATGCGAGTCAAAACCAAAGGCACCGGAGGCGGTGGACTTAGTACTTCTAGTCCTGGCGCCACAGCAATTGATTTTCTCATCAAAGTCGAAGTCGTCAAAGAAGTGCTGCGCACCTACGTCCCGTGAGTTTCGCCGTCATCCCATTGGTGAATTAATTAAAATTAAATGTTTCGCCTTGCTGTGCTCTTTTATCAGACATCCGTACAATCCGCTCAAGTCCCTAGCACATGTATTTCCGGGCTCTCCGTCAGGATCTGTTACCCTGACCCGTTCCACCATCCTAGTTCTATCTGGTTGGTCCAACACACAGTTTTCGTATTGGGCTCGTCGCTCTGAAGGTATCTCTGTCCTAAGAGATCACGACGAGCGTCTGCAATCAGTTGCAATCGCCCTGGAAAAACGCTTGAGGCAAGGCGGGGTGCTCCAAGACTTACCTGATGACGACGCCTTTAGTTCCCTTACCTATGGCCACGTGGCGGAGTCATCACCAAACGTCACCGGCAAAGGTCTTGACATCATCATTGAGGAGGTAAAGAAACGCACTGGACTCAGTCCATTCCTTCGTGGGAAACATTCTTCCCTTGATCCGTTTGGCTCTACCAACGGAGACAAAGATACAGGACCAGGCCCTCCGTCTGGCCCCCCTTCAGGACCTGTGTACATGCCAACCTTCCAGGCAATGGAGTATTCTCATTCTCCTCCGGTATCTACGGAACCTCCTCGCCGGCCCAAGAAAAAGAGGCGGACGAGCGCTACTGGGTCAATATCTTCGCATGCAGGTTCCAGCGTAACTCATGCAGAGCTGGTAGTTAGCTCAGGTCAGTTGGGATACGCGATGGAGTCAGGTGTTAAATCCGATATAGCGAATGCGATGTCACCTGATGTGGCGTCGCCAGCTTCGCTTTCGGTATCACGTCCGCTGCCTCGGTCTCTTGGCGTCATAGATGATGCTATTGGTGCCTATCAGCTCCAGACCAACATGATGGATGACCCTGTGGAGACCACCGACAGGGAGTACTTTCCTGTATCGGATTCTCGTTCTGACTTTGATGAATTACGACACAAGCGGCCGTTTTCGTATTCTGACCTTTCCATGGAGACGCGACAGAGGCTCAGCGTCTAGATGATTTGACAAGCTTTATGCCACGATGTGCATTCCGTTTCCAGGCTTTCGGTTTTATGAAGTTCACGTGCCTCTCAGGACTTTTCCAGTGCATGCATACTAGCCTTCTGCATGCATATTGCTTCGCTTCTCGCTTCGCTTTCTCGATGCTCATCGATCATATGCCCATTCACTTTACCTGATCAGTCTACCCCCGCTCTCTAATTCTTGTACCACTATCAGGAATCATATTCAGAAAACTTATCAATCACCACCCTAGCTACGTACGATACGGATCATATCTCATTGCAGTACTTTTTTGTGGCTTGTCCACTCGTAGTTTTCCATGTAGTTCTAGAGCATCTTTCGCCCGAAACCCCAGTTGTAATAACTCACACACAAACACGTTTCCTTGCTTATTACCATTTCGGTGTTCACCGATTACCGTGACCATGTCTACCGTGTGATGTTGAACATCGGCCATATCATAACGACTTTGACGGCCGCATTCTTTGTCGTTGCAAGCTATGTGATCTTATTCAACACGTTTCTACCGCTCTCTGGTATTCATGTACGTTCTTGGTTATTCCAGAAAAGATGCCATCGTGGCACATACGAATTACTGACCTGTTAGGCCCTTGACGTCCTCGCACAAGACACCCATTACAAGTACTTTACCCTATTCATCATTCCCATGGGCGCATACTTTGTGATTGCAAACTGGGTAGGCTGGCAGTACTACCAGAATTCTTGATTGTGAGTGCTGCTGTTTGCCTCCACCTTCCCTCAATGTGACCGCCAGCATATCCAGGGATAAGGCAGAATTCCAGCACACACAACGCACGGCACCAGATATTCGAGCATAAACTTTTGATACAAGTATTGCCAAGTCTAGCCTGCGATGGCGTACTACATGTGCATAAATGGGTATCCAAACGTGGTGCATATCGAGGAAATTGCATGAAATTGAATAAGTTATAAGTAAAAGGACAACATCGGTATGCCATCATCATGGAGGTTCAGGTGTTCGTGACTTTTCCGTTGGGGGTCTTGGCCTCTTCTGCACTTGTCTCAGCTCTTGCCAGAGTCGACTGCGCTCGGGCTCTTCCCTAGGTGTGGAGGTGTAATTTGACCTAGTGGGACTAACTTCCCTAACACGAGAACTTCTGGACATTGCAGGGCTGATGGCCCGTCTCACTGTGAACCTGGGTCGTACAGGTGAGGACGGTGCCTGGGATGGTGGTATGGAAGTTTTGTTCGATCTCGTTGGACTGGGATCACGGAGTCCCCGACTTGAGGGCTTGGCACTCTGGCGGCCAATAGGTTCGGGACGAGTTTGGTTTGTAAGAAGACGTGCAATGCTAGGTCTGCTAACCAAAACAGAAGACCGAGTAGCGGCAGGGCGGCTTGGACCCACTTCCGAGCCTTCTGTTTCGCTCTCTACGCGGGTATTTTGACGAGGAAATGGGCTGCGACTCGTGCGTGCCGGGGGCTTGGGCGTCGGGTTGGCTCGCCCGGGACTAACGGACGGCAAACGAAGATAGCGAGCACGGCTATTTGAAGGCATTGAACAAAACTGCGCAGTCATGTGGAGGAAAGAACTCACGCTATTTCCTTCAAGTGAGTTTTCGTTTTGTAGGCTTGGTGCCACTTTTCGAATACTCGATCTGGATTACGAAGGTCATTCACTGGATATGATCGTCACATAAATAAAATCTCACTCAGGACGGCATCGTTATGAGTCTCTCGCGCTCTTTTAGCCAGAAGTGCCTGAGGCATAGCAGCTCTCCAGATAGCCCAATACCTCATCTTGGTTCGTGAGGCTTGGAAGCGGATGGCTGGGAGAGACTGAACGGGTGTTAACATATGTGCTATTGTCAGAAAGAAAGAAAACATACCCGAGTCTTCGAATGCCAAATACCAAACGTACGGAAGATAAGATTCTTTTGATTCTGAATGGCTATCTGGCGTAGCTATTGTTTTCGGAGTTACAAAGGTATGCTTTGTTGAGGATGCCACAGAACTCACAAGGGGTCGAAGTTTTTCATCCATGTACCGTTCTCTCCATCTGTTCCAAGCAACCTGCACATTTGCCCGGTCAAATTCGAGTTCCTTTTCGCGCAAAGTAACGCGTTTGTGACGTCGAGCACGGGCCGCCATCAGCCAGCGATGGAACATCCGGCGAACGCTCTCTACAGTGCAAGAGTTAAACGACCAGCTAGATGACCTCGAACTAAGTACTGACCAGCCCGTTTGATATCAAGATGACTCTCCATGAGGCTCAGGTCTTCAACGTGGCGCAAACATATGTTCTTCCACTTCTTGAAGGCGAAGCTGAGGAAAAGGTCAGATGCGTTTTTATAGAGATGCAGAAGGCCGCGTACACTGTTAGTGCGTGGGCGCTCTTCTGGCTGACTTCCAGTTCCCGCAACTTGATTTCAATGACACGATTGGTCCAGAGTCTTAAAGCATCCCGTTTTATTCGCTATAATGCAATTAGACTGAATTTCAAAGCTTGAAAAAAATCGTCCGACTTGCCAGAGATACGAGGTCATCTATTTGCTGCGCTGCCAGCCGGCGGAATCGCATTCTTTGATATTTCTGGTGCCATGCTTTAGGTGAAATGAAACTATTAGAAACCAACTAAATTAGACCATAGATGCGTCAACATTACCTGTCATGAAAGTGCGAAGTCGACGAATCTCGAGGTGTTCGAGTTTCTTCTGCCTTTGGCGTTCTTCAAATTTGACCTTCCAGGCTTTCAAAATCCTTCGCTGAAGAATGAAGTTCTCCACGAATCGAGCTTGTTTCAACAGCTTCATCTTTTCCCTCAGCTGGATGCGCCACTTGAGTAGCGCATCATACTGCACACGAGCAAGGTTGCGTTGAACAGCAAAGGCACGGCGGTTTTGGTAGATTGTATAGACCTGATGCCAAGTTCGCAGAGCTGAAGAGACAGTATATGAATCGGAGCGCATGGAGAATGCAAGAGCATAATCTATCTCGGCGTTAAAGATCCTTGGGATAACCCGATTGCTAAATTACACTCACCTTCAAGATGCTTGCGTTCTCTCATGCGATCTTTCCAAACAGCCATTGAATTTTTCACTAGACGCATGTCTCTCACCCTTTCAAGCAGTTTCCCGCGTTCGCGAGCCTTCCAGACCCTGGTGACGGCTCGGAGCAAAAAAACATCTTGACGAGCGAGATATTTGTCGGCACGCTTTTCCGCGACCTACTAAAATAAGTATTGTTCGAAATTATTGTGAGGGAACGTACACGCATTCGATGTCTGGTAGTTTTCCATCTGCTTATTGCTCGTTTTAAGATAGCAACATCGCGATAGGCACCCGCTGTCTGGCGCTCACGGCTACAAGAGGTGTTGGCTGTCTGAATGTGAAGAAAACCGTATCAACTTACGTCTGCTTCTTCCACAAGTCCATCATGATTCCTTTGATTCTGAGTGCCGTTTTGTGTGCAACGGTTTTTTCAGCATCTCTGGCAGCCATGATTTTTTTCCAGTGCTTCCACACTCTGTGAGCAGCGCTCCCCTTGATCCTGTGAGAAAACTCGTCTGCAGCGGAATCCATGCGATCTAGCTTCAACAAAGAGTTTCTCCATCGCAGGAAGAACCGTGCAACTATACGTTCATTGTACTGCAATTCGTTTAGAATAGAGCGGTGGGACTGTTGCCATTTGACCCATGCATATTTGACAAGTTTAATTTCATGCCTTTCGCGAACCGTCTTCATCTTGGCGCGCATGTCATGACGCCACTGTAACTGCTTTTTCTGCTTATGTTTCGCACCCCAAATACCAAGGGCGAAACGAAGGCAGCGCGCATCGGCAATGGAGACAGCGCGAGCGTGCATTTCAAGGCGCGTGGCAGTAGCATTCCGCCAGGAGCGTAATGAAGAACCTAGGATTACATTATCTCGAGCCTGAGCAACTTGTTCGTTCGTTGTCTAGATTGAAGTATTACCATCTGATTAAATCACAATCAAAAAATACCTACCACTAGCCACTGGTAACCGAGAACCCAAATCTCCCAACAGTGTTCGAGGAGTTTGTCTTCACGGAACTTATCAGCGTCTTCTTCGTCTCGTGACACCTTAATTTTCTGCCATGCTTCATCTTCATTTATCACGCTGCCCTTGCGCGTGCGACCCTTTGTAAATTCAATCGCATTGACTGCTACAGAGTTTTGAATCGGTGACGATGCAGGAGGTATGGGCTGACCCCGTGCTTTTTGAGGGACAGGCGTTGCAACAGCAGCGCGATAAGATGGCGGAGTAGTTGATAAAGAGCCTGGTACATCACCACCATCAGTGGTGTCTGACATTCCTTCCCACATAGCTGGCTGATGATGACCAGCAGCTGCTTGAGGACGGGGCGTAGATACACGCGTAAGAGCAGGTGGAAGGATACTGTTCGAAGGGCGGCTTGCATGCGCCCTTGTGACCCGTGTCAATTGCACTGATGCGTTGGGACGTGTAGCCTGGCTCAGGCGCGTGAGGGGGCGAGGAGGGGGCTGTTCGGATTCGGCATCAGAAAGAGGGGTTTCTGTTTCTGTTGCAGATCCATCCTGTTCCTGGTCTTGGTGAGAGTGGAGGGTAAACACATCGTCATCCTCGTCGCGGACAGGTGTTGCGAGGCGGGCAGTCAATCTCGCAGGCTTCGAAGTCGGAATGGGCACTTTGACAGACATCGTAGGGATTGGAACTCTCGAGGGACCGCTATACCCATACTGTTGTTTCACCCCCTCCCATTTGTGATTCCAGCTTGATCCTCGGAGTTTGCAGAGTTCCAGCAGCCTCCCGTAATGCACCGTCTCCGTCTGGCTATCCCAGCCCCGATCGTGCAGTTCATCGTTGTACGCCTTTAGTCCAGAGAGAAATGAGGTAGCATTTGGGGGTATTCTCTTGACAACTGCATCAAAAAACTCGACTTCTGCAGACGTCAGGTTGTGTAGTTCAGATTTTGAGGCCGCCGACCCGCGGGAGACATCGGATGTTGTTGCCTGGAGAGAGACTAACGAGCGTTGAGCTGCAACGAGAGGCTTCGCGGGCGAGGATGTGTTAGTTGGCTTGAAGCCGGGCATATAGACAAAATGGAGCTGTTAGTGATGGTACATCGACCAAACGTGGCATCTGATGATCATCAACAAAATGTAGACGCGTTCGCGACACAGGCACGTGCAAGTCCACATTTGGACTTGTGGATCAACATTGTCAACTTTAAAATTTGAAGCAAAGTGGTACAATTCGCTGCCTCTTGTTTATTTTGTGTGCTTGTAGTTAGAGTACACCGTCTATTGTATATCCCGAACAAAACCAAGTGTGCCGAGGGACGAAGCCAGTAAATCCAACACTCGCCCACTCTCTTTCTTCTGCACTTTCAGGAGTTCCTCTAACTCAGTCCGCAAATCCTCATTTTCGATAATCACGTCTGCATGGATTCGCAGGACGACATTTTGTAGTGCCTGCACAGCTTCAAAGTCGAGGTGCGACTGCAGGCGTCGCTTGATGGCGCGAAGAAATTGTTTGAGGCTGTTGAACGCTAACAAGCGCAACTCCAAATCAATTGCCGCCGGCGAGAGGCTCTTGATGTAGTCGAACAATGCGTCGTTCGCTGGAAGAAGTCTGAGTAATCAACATGAACGACTTGCGAACGGAAAGAATCATACAGCTGCTATTTTTATCTGACTCGACCAGCAACTTTTGTAACGTGCTTTGCGAGTTCGCAACGATTTTGTCAAGTCTGCGGGTGTGTTTGTCCTGCGTCTCTTGCTTCTTCTCCTCGATCGCAAAGCGATGCTCGACGCCCGGTAACGTAGGTAAGAAGAACGGTGCATGTTCGGGTTTCTTCGGTGGCTCTTTTGGTTTATTCCGTTGCTACAAAATAATTAATTATAGCGTAAAACAACAAACAGACGAGTGCAAACCTGTATAACCTCCAAATTCAGCAGTGTCTGCCAACGTGCACGAGGGAGTAACGTTAATGTCACAAGATCTCCATCTAATTGAGATGGCGTCGAGAAGACGTCTGTGGGCTTATCTTCCACCCCCAGTTTTTCCAAAGCTTCTAATGCTGGATATAAATCAGTGATCATGCATAAAATTGAATGAACGAATAATTCACTTTCATCTTCTTCAGACCCTTGCATCGAAGGAAGCGCAACTTCCGCAATATCCTCTTCTGAAATTGCACGGAATGCAACCTCAGAGTATTGAGACCGATTTGCCCTATTCAGAGTTATCAACCGAGATAAGAAGTTGGTACGTAGCATCTCACCAAAGGAAAATGCCAACGCTGTCAACATGTGTAGTGGCCAAAAAGTCATTTGTCGGCGAGAACGCAATGCTCGTGGCAACACTAGGTGTGCGGAACGCATTTATTAGCTGACCAGTAGGTATATCGAATGTCCGTATCACAGAGTCCAACGATGTGACCACTATCCAGCGAGAATCTGACGAAAATGCCTGTTACTGCTTCAGCAAAGTTCTGTAATTCAACGTAATGTCCGCAACCCACAATGTCAAGTATTCGACCATGGACGCCACACGCTAGTTCTCTGACGACTCTACGAGTCTCGATGTCAATGATTCGAACGACCATATCATCGCAGACGACTGCAAGTAATCCAGAGTCTCGTTGTAACATCATCGAACTAGCTGAAGTTGGTAAAACCATCACTTGGTCCAGAGTACAGGTATGGAAGTCAAAGAACTATAACCATCAGTCATTATGAGTCGGAAGCGGTGAAAGGACTAGGAATTCTCACATTCACAGTGCCATCTGAAGTAGTGGCAATGACTGCGCGGTTCAGAGCATCTGATGCCAGGCCAGTAATACTACGCTCGCTGGCTTTTGATCTTGTCATGGACGAAAGCTCAAGACGATCGATCAGGGCTTGAGGGCAAGGTCCAACCTTGAACGACTTTCGCTTCAACCCAGACTGCATGTTCCACATGTGTATCTCTCCAGTTGAAGATCCCGCAAGACCGAAATTTCCACAAGCAGTAACACAAACACACTAAATTACAGGATGAGGATACCGAATGAAGCAAGAAAGACGACGTACCTTTACAACACCTGAGGGAGACTTCCTTTTGGAACTCTCAGCGGAGTTGAACGTGTGCTTTCCAACGCGCTTGTTGAGTACTGTCCAAGACCGTACACACATCTCATCAGCATGTGCGGTCAGGACGTCATCCCAGTCCTTGGATCGTGTCGAGGAACAAGAAATGGAGGTGATAGGAGGGAATTTCAACGAAGTAAGAGGTTTTGATAGAGTCGTAGCTTTCCGTGCGAGAGATCCTGAGCAAATTGAGGTTAGCCATTAATAACACCATTCTGCACTCAGAACCCACCTTGCGACATTTCGTATGACCTCGAATCTCGAACAACAGAGATATACCGTAGGGTACGGTCTGCTGATGCAGATAACAATTGTTTACCATCTTCGCCATAAAACCGAATGAGATGTGGGGGTGCATGATGACCAGATCTGAATTTCAGGAGTCGAGGAACAGCGGTAGGGGATTCGTACAACCATTGCTATTTGACGATCATCAGTGATGAATAGACTTGCTTGTTCTTATAACTACCTTGACGCTGTTATCCTCACCTGAGCTGATGAGGACAGGCTGTCCAGGGACCCACTCAAGTGCACTAACAGCACCATCATGTGCACCCCGGATGAGGTGCAGAAGCCGACCTCCAGAATCTAGATCCCAGAGAGCTATGTGTCCAGATGACGAGGCAGACGCCAGAATCGGGTGACCATCTAGTATGCAGCGAGATCAGAATTGAATTTGCTCATGCTTATGGTAACGTACCACTCCGGAAAGATAAAGCTTTGATTCCACCATCATCCATGTACATTCTCATCAGCCGCTCATCAGCACGAACGTCGTACACAGATATTTCTCCTGACATAAAACCAACACCAACTACATCGATAGCAGGGGACTGCGTTAACGCTGTGATGGGACTCGACAATGAGTTCATATGCTGCTGAGATGGTAATGTGCGCAATAGAGAATTAGAAAATTTGTGTATACAAGTCCTGTAGTAGCCATTGAATCCAAGTAATAGATTGCAGATATTCAACTCACTGTGTACGGATGTTCCAAAGTTGCATATCGCCCTCCTTGCTGGCAACCAAAACTTTGTTCAGATATGTAGCAGGATGGAGAATTGATGTAGCAGTAAACCCAATATCAAACTGAATAGTTGTAGATAAGGCTTGTTCTGGAGTAATCATGAAACAAATACTCGAGGTGATCAAGTAGAAAGCGCACCATTGGTCGATACCTCCCATATTAGCATCCGCGCACCATCTTCCGTCAATGCAAGCAACTGAGTACCAAACAGAATGACGAATGCTAAGGGGGTCTGGAGCGGATTCGACACGCGTGAAACCTGTAACTAAGTCAAAAAAAGTACGTGGAGAATCTGAAAGCTCCCACCTCTTTTCCCCGGAGATATTTGATTACATGTACGCCAGACGCTGCCCAAACAGCATCTCCATCCATAACTAGGCACGAAATAGGGTCTTGAACTTCCGGACCTGTGCACCATTACACAGTAAAATCAAGCATGCCTTCTGACTTGAGACATACCAATAACTTACCCACAAATAACAGGCCCATCTTACCCCCCTCCCATAACGCCCATGATCTGCCGAGACAGGTCAAAATGTGTATCCGGGGCCCCTCAGTTGCATCCTTGTAAGAACGGGTTTGTATATAGAATGGTATATGGTTTGTGATTAGACCCAGAGCGCGGAATGGTGCAAATAATATAGGCACTCTGGGCAGGTGAGTGGGACTTGTTGCACGTTTGCGTTTTGTGCTGCTGCGAATCCTTTTACGAGGGCGAGCTTCTATCATCTCCGCATCTTCGTCATTCCGAGCAGCCATGGGCACACTGATCGCCTGCGCTAGACTAGCAGTAGATGGACAAAAGACCGACGAGAGTGACTAGTGCCAGTGAAGGATCGTAAAAATGAAGTTACTACTTCGAAAAATCATCTCACGTGACCTGCTAAGTAGAAGTATTTTTTGCTTTCGTGGCTAAACATATGCATAAACGTCCATGATCGATTAGCATTGATAGGTACTGCAGTCAGCCCGCTAATATTCTAGTGCTGTCGCGTTGCCTTTGCTCCGTCATGGTGGTTTTCATCCAGGTTCCGGTTTATCAAACTTTTCATCATATTCAGTGTATGATCCAGATTATCGTCTTGCCAATGCACGCGAAGCGGCGAAGGAAAAACGTCGTGATGCAACTGAGTCAAGACAAGGCAGTCGTGGTGATACTAAAAGCTTGCATTTCAGTATTTCAGACAGTATCCGTGTTGATTATGAGAACTCTAGCAAGCCAACATACTAATGCTCCACACATGAGTATATTGGATGATTGACATTAATCTGCAAGTGAGAGAAATACATACAAAGCTCTATTCCGTTTACAAGTCATACATTTTAGTTGCAAATAATCGCTATGCAAGCCATTAAGCTTCATGCACCGCAAGAGACCACCATCGATAAGGTATAATCAGGTACTCCACTTTCAGGTCTAAGACAGGGGTATCAGACGTCCCTCACTCTATGCTTCCGTCTTCTACTTGGCACCAATAGTGTCATCTTCCGTGTCCGTTCGTGCGAATTCAGTGATGTCGTCACTGGAGCCTTGTCTCTTTTCCTTCTCAAGATATCCTGACTCTGTGACTGGTGAGTTTTCTTCTATCGTCACTTGAGCAGCACCCTTCTCGACGTCTCCTGACTTCTTCTCGCCGCCACGGATGATTGTGCGCTCTAGCGTATAGCCACGAATAAAGAGAACCAGAAAGAGACCGAATACAGATACTGGCGTGTTGACCAACCAAATAGTACTGATAGACCGCGAGTAAGCATGCATAACCTCATTACGCACTGCGGGATTCTGGTAAGATCGGTAAGTAAGCCGGAACAAAAATCATGAAATTGTTTCTGACAGAAATGGAAGAGATCTGCCTGACACTATCATTCAAAGCCGCTGCAGAAGTGTCCATGGTAAGGCCTTGGATGCCCCGCAGTTTCTGCTGAAGGACACTGGAAAGAATAGTTTCTCCGATCGTAATACCGATTGTACCCCCAAGAGTTCTGAAAACCAATAAGTACCAGTGAAATGCACATCGTAAAGTAACACTCACCGGAGGAACATAAAAGCACCTGTGCTGGTGGCCATATCTTTGATAGGCATTGCTGCTTGTACAGCAACAAGCGGGGTCTATCACAGAAGCGACACTGAGCACGGGTCGTTATGATGATGTTGTGAACTCACCTGGAACAAGCAACCAATACCAAGCGCTGCAATCAAGGGGTAGATTTCCTGCTCTGCGCTGTTTAAAAGAGCTATAGTGATCACCTGACTTCGACAGTGACTATAAACATACATAGTGCTCGTATTGTCCAACATGATCATGAGACCCCAACCAAGCGTCATGACACTCCATCCGAACCAGATGGCAGGACGGTAGGATCCCGTTTTGGTTACAACTATTCCGGAAACCGCTGACATGAGCGCAGTGGTTAATGAATAAGGTAGCATTCTACGTATATCAGTAACCTGGGAACAACGACACATATTCAACGCTCACTTAATGCCAGAGTTCGTTGCCGATGCGCCAAGAACTGGTGTTGAACTCAGCAGAATGCATACTCGAAGGCTGTAAGACGGATCTACCTTGGTAGTACATTGGAAGGTAGCTAGAAGCCCGCATGAGAATGTCAGATATAAACTCTGTCTACAAAATACTCACTATGAACCTGGAATAACGGTATGCATGATTACTAAGACCCAAGACAGGTATACGCACATACCTGTGAAGAATACTACAGCATGCAAGACTACAGAAACTAATATCAAGCCAGTTGTGCGTGTCTGGAAAACCATGAGAGACAAGATGAATGGCTTTCTTGACAACTCACTTTAAAAAGACGAGGTGGGATGATGGGGGATCGCTTCGTGTATATCTCATTAACGCCACCAAGGATTATCAACGTGCCTCCCACAGCAAGGAGAGCAATGGTTTCGCCGCTTTGCCCTAAAGACCGGTAAGATTTGGTTCTTTAGAACAGAAAACATAGCGTTACATGTCGTTTCGCTTGAGTTGAAACCTATAAGCAGGCAAATGACACCTATAACAATCACGAAAAGCCCAATGAAATCGAATTCTCGGAGATGGTCACGGAATGGTCTTCTTTGATGGGGGTTTAAATTTAAGAAGAAGAATAAAAGTATGCCAGATAAGCCGCCAGTCGGTCTGTCTCGATAATGAGCTTCCGATCTGAGCACAAACATTGGAGATACATATCGAACGCACAAATTGATCCAGAAGCACCTGGTACGCATCGATTGAGATTTGGATCAAAAACAGAATTCGATTACTCACCACCTCCAACTTACATGATCGGTAAAAACCTAGAGTACAGAAAAATGATCAATTTTCAGATCGCTTCAGAAGATGCAGAGACCTTACACCGCCGATTAATGGTCCAATAACGCTGAGAAAATGTATAAGGTTTGAGCCTTTGAGGACTTGACTAGTCAGTCTTACCTTGCTATGCCCCAGGTGGCACCGATGAAACCACCATACTTGCCTCGGCTGAAAAATAAACAAGATGAAAAACAAACCAGGGTTAGTAACAGATACTCACTCTTGCAATGACACAATGTCAGATATAGTGATCTGTACTAGTTGCATGATGCCGCCGCCGCCAATTCCTTGTACAGCACGACAGACAATCAACCATGTCATAGTCTGGGCTGCGCCGCATAACGCTGAACCAATCTGATCTATAATGTCAAAGTCAAATGGGATGCACGTGGTGGGGACATACTAAAAATATGACGATGGACCCATATAGTACGGGTTTGCGGCCTGCAGATGCCAATCGTTAATTTCCGAGCGACGATATAGCACTGAAATAGCACTGGCCTAGAATATTGGATAGTTTGCCGTATAGCGGGCCCAAAGAAGCGGATGCCAACATGTACGCACTGTACGAAAAGATGTTGGTGTGATAGCACCAACCTTAATTTGCATAGACGAACCTTCCTACCCAACTGTAGTTCTGCCCCCCTCCAAGGTCCGCTACGATTGTGGGCAAGGCGGTGGCTACAATAGTCTCGTGAAATGTGAGTGAGATTTTGACGAACAACATAAGAATTTGCATACTTGATCTAAAGCTGCCAAGAAAGTACTGCACATCAAACCGAAGAACACAATTCCCAAGCGATTTTTTGGGACGATATGCTCCTCATCCTTTTTCCATGATGCGCCTGGGCTTTGTTTGGCCTCTTTGACTGGAGATGACGGCTCGGCCATCGTTGTCATTTTTTGAGAGTCTCGTCACTCGAGGGCACCACGAGTGGATTTCAAGAACGGACTGACAGCGTCAACAGAGAAGGGGCAAAAGGAAAGTAGGTTCATGACTAGCTGGTATAATACTTAAGGGTAGAGTGCTCGAAAGTTGTGCCGAGGTGCCTGTATTACTGAGCAAAACGATAAATTTGGCTGACTCGTGTACATCGTCAAAGAACATTGGTAACAAGAAAGTCTTACTTACCATGAAGATCGGCCTCCCGTGCCGTAAAATTGCGCTCCCGGCAGAGTCCTAGGAGTAATATTCATCCGGTCGACATGTTAGGTCTTAGTCAGTTATTCGGAATTATATTTAGTTTCCGGCCAGAAGAAAATGAACGATGGTGAGCATGAATCCTTCCACGGACTATAATAATATAGCCAAGGTCGTAGTGCTACTCGTAACTCCGCGGGATTAGTATTTTTCATCGCTTTGGAATCCTGCGCACCGATAAATTAGTGCCTTTGGTGTCTCGAGAGAACTCACGCGTTCAACTTAACTATCAGTAATTCAAACCATTATTTAATTGGTTGTTCAGTTTGACGTCTGTCTAGTTATTAATTATAGAATTATCCAATATCTGCGTAGACACTGACGGATCTAGAATAGTTTGACGTCTGTCTAGTTATTATAGAATCATTCAGTATCTGCGGTCATCAATATATTAATAAGCGCTTAAGCATTTAAGTATGTTAACCGATTGGTCATGGACCTGGTTCCGGTTAATGCACGTATCTTCGGCTCCATGTACATGTCATTTTTGATTTTGTGACGGTTATAGATTTATGTAATGAACTTTGTTCAGCCTCCAAAAGCACCAAACGGTTCACGGATACTAGCAACAACCCACGTACTGTGCCATCGACAATAACTCTAATCCAAAAGCAGAATCATTGTCGCCATGTGCAGGCAGAATAACAGAATGACGTCAAACGTGCTTCATACGTCGACTACGGTTAAAATTAGTTTCTCCTAGACAGCCCAGTCGTTCCATTGTTGGAATGTACATGTGACGTCTTGGGTGCAATAAGCACTGAGTTACTCGTACTCGGTCCGGGATGAAGGAAGCACGCGCCAGATATGCAGCAGCAGACGACCACAGAAAACACATACGCAGCTGTTACCCTCAAATTGGGATAGGGTCCAGAGTTCGATTTCAGTATTATGACCTTGAGCATTTGCGGAGTCTAATAAATGCGACTCCAAAGGCAAGGAGGAGAGCAGCGAAGGGACATTGCAACCGTCGTTAAAGTCCCTGTTCAACAGTCAGCACTGCAGCGGTCATAATAATCTTCAGGCTTTCCCAGCGATTTTCTTGCAACCACCACCCATAGCAAGCCGACGTAACAGAAGATCGGCGACCGAAAGAGTAAAGTCACAGCACCAGCCAGGTTACTGACATGGGATCCAGACCCTGGCACGAGACTCAGAAGTTCAAGCACTAGTATGCGGGGTAATCAGATTAGTATTAGTAACCGAGCCAGGCTGGCAAAATAATTGACTTAGCCCTAGGTACATGCATGCATGTAGAAGTACTGCTGTTGTTTACGATGCAATAGCGTTGCGAAAGCCAGAACTCGTGATTGAGTCCTGGGTCCGCGCTTCACGATGGAAATATTGCTGCGCTACTTACATCAGTACTGTTGAGACTGACCGGAGCCTATGAGAAGGAACGACTTATCTTCTTTCATAAACTTGAAGGTCTGGCTAATTAGGGCCACCGCAACATTAAGGGCAACCAACGTGCAGAAAAGCTCGCAAAAGAAGCTACCAGACGCAATGACTTGATCGTCGCGACATGTGCGAATGAACGACGACGTACTAGTAACATGTTAAAGAAGTGAACGGAAATTGCGAATCCACCCGCCAGCGCATCTACCTGCGCACGGTTTCTCGCAACCTCATGACAAGTGAAATCATGGGTGTAGAGAAAGAAATCAAGGCACTGGTCAAATTTATGGAAGAGTCCGACTCTGATGCATTCAAGAAGATCAGGCAAGGATAATGCCCACGTTGCAGGAAGACGAATAGATGAGGTTGAGGAGGGGCGGGCTAGAGGGCTTTGGAGAGGGACGAAGGAAGAAATTATTGGAAGAGAGTGTGGGAATGGAACGGAGAGAAGGACGGAGGGTCGCAGTGCACGTGCGTGGTATTATGAGGACGAAAATACTGTAGAGTTACGACCATACTAGATGTCCACGGGAGTTCGCGCCTTTTTGGCAAAACGGTTATTACTCCACATCGCACAAACAAACAAAATTAATTATTTGACAGTTCAATAGCGTGACATCGAAAGTACAACGTCTGCTAGTTTCTTTTTCGAAAATTGACGTGTTGAGTCCAGCGGAGAGTTACCGCGCAGAAAAGTGCATTTTCCCTAGAGTTCGCGCACTTCGTCACACTATGTCACACGTCTGCCGCAATGCCTTTTCACGCTCCGCAGAATTCGCACCGTTCTAATTGTCCTCACTCAAGTCTCGTGAGAACGCAGATGAGGAGGATTTAGCCAGCGAAAACGAGGACCCCGTTGCGAGTGCAAGGGGTCCCCAATACATTCGGGAAACGAGCAATCCCAAACATGAGACTGTAAAAATACATGTGCTATAACTCCAGCAATTGAGGGAGGGAGGGAGGGAGGGAGGGAGGGAAGATAGAGTTTAATAAGTAAAGTAATAAGGTAAGAAAATAGACTTAGGGATTTAAATAGAACCAAAAGGATCCGCCGAATCATGGATAGAGTGACCATTAAACACGAGAGCGTGAAGCAGAGCCGAATTTTTTCGAACATAGATACGAAAAGCATCAGTAGACCATCTCCCCATAGCCTGTATACGATCAGAAGAAACTCCTGCAGCAGCAAGCGAGGTAGCTCCACCTGCCCGCAAAGAGTGACCTGATATAGAATCAGGAAAGCGAGCTCAAAGATGAGCAATAAACCATGTGCGAGTGGGGATTGACCCGTCACTGCGCAGCCAAAGGAAGCTATTAAATGGAAAAAGCCGATCACGAGAGTTCAAGTAAGAACAGAAGGTTCCATGTGGATCAGCAGACTCAGCATGCTGAACCACAATGGTACTCCCTTCAAACTGAGAGTCGGATTTGTGTCGTCGAAGGATGTATGAATGATAAGACTCAGTAATGATAACCGAGGTGCGGAGGGAGACCTTCTTGTAAGTCTGAAGACGACGATTATCTGGCCACACCATTTCTCCCAAGCGGAGAAGACCATAGAATCCGTCAAACAACATTGCGAGAAAAAGGAGGTCATCATGAGAGGGCAGACTTGCCAAAGCAGTCCTAGTGGTTTCCAAGTCGGTGCGCGAAAGAGGAAGCTTTCATTGAATAGGCACCCCAAAACGACGTTTAGCTCCCTTCAAGGTCCACGATACCAAATGAGAACACCGATTTTGTCAAACTTGTGGGTAATACTCCTCGAGGACGCTACAGATCCCCGAAAGGTAGTTATCAACAGACCAAGGGTTGATATGAGCCAACATAAAGGTGACGAAGAGGGAAAGGGTGTCAGGAGTAGGATCAAGTGCGACATGGTGAAGATCACAGAACATTACGTAAGAGTTAAGAGCCGAGGAATATGATTGGTTGGTTGACCTGTCAAGCGCTAGGCCAAGATTAATAGACTGCTCGTAGATGAGACGGTCTATAGGCCAGGCAACCTGTACGGGTTGCCGAGCCTCAACCGAAGAGTGAATTATTTTTCGGCTACCCCCAACACATTTCGAGGGGGCTGAAATGGCGTGATCCTTAGTCCCGGGGAGCATAACACCGCGTCACTCGCACGCCAACGAGAGAGGTGATCAGCGACGACATTATTACTACCTGAGATGTGAAAAACTCGAAAGTCAGCTCCAAAAACGAGGATAGTTTCAACCACATCCATGAGGAGATGATTAAAACCTGGTCCGCCAGAGAGAGAGTTGAACATAAAGACGGTGTTGAGACTATCAGTATAGACTGCTAGACGACCATCCTCAGGAAGATGAGTTACAGCATCGTGGATAGCCGAGGCGACGCATAATGCTTCAGCGAAAAAGATGTCCTTGACAGGAGGACGATCCGGAAGGGGAGACTGAAATCCGAGATTGAGATCAGGGTACCAGAAACCTAAACTGGTTCCTGAGGCATCACAGAAGACTTGCAAGGTGTTGGAGGACAGAGTGTGAAGTTGCCAAGAGATGGATTTAAACAAATAGATACCATCAGACCGTTGGAGATGATAAGCGGCCCATAGCAACTCCTGGACAACACTGCGATTAATCCAAAGCAAACCTTTGGAATTAGACTTCCCCTTGATCTTAGCGTATAATCCTGGACGCAGAAGAGGGCAAACATTGAGCACCCAATTAAGCGAACCAGCAATATGTTCGAATTCTTTGAGTGTCCACTTACGCTTATACTTCGCGAACTCGCGCAACTCTCGAACCAACCCCTTCTTCGAATCCTCCCAAAGGGAGATCTTCATCGTGTTCGGATCAACTTCAAACCCAATAACGGGCAGAGGCGATCCGAAGACTTGTTTCTTCTCCTCGTGGGGAATGCCCAGCTCATCCCATAGGAGGAGAAGCATGACCATATCAGTAGGTAGCATCTTGCGATACTTCCCATAATAGGTCATATCGCGAACCTTACTGAAAGAGAAAGAGTCATCGATGTATATAAAGGCTTGAATAAGCCAGACGAAGACGGCGAGCCAAATGACAAGTGACATGAAGGTGTGGAATATTTGCTGTGATGCGTGGCTTCCAAAAATGTTTGCACGATCGACTCGTCTTTCTCCTTCGAAGGTAACGATCTGTTTGATTTGCCAAAGTGGGTGCATTGGCATATGGCGGTATGCTTCTGAAACATCCGCCTTCCAGATCTGCAAAATGTCGTTGGGGTGAAAATGATGATATTTGTGGATGGCGTCGCCAAGATCCTGGACATTGTCCAAGGTGACTCCAGCGATGTCTTCTTTGGCAATCATAGAATTGAGAGAAAACTCTCCTGCGCTATGATTAGTGACGAGACGAAATTTACCTCCTTCCTTAGGCACTGTTACAGGGATCTGTAACACCTACTAGAGCCCCAGCTCTCCCTACGCCTGCCCCCGCTCTGCTAGACTCCCCGCGCGGTGGTGCGCCGCCTGCGCCTAGAAAGACAGCGGTCTGGACCGCTATGACCCCGCCCCCTGGCGCTATGACCCCGCCCCCTGGCGCTATGACCCCGCCCCTGGCCTAGACGGCCTTGTACCTGATCCATGAAGGCTGTACGCCTCATGGACACCCTAGATCAGTGCATGTATACCACATGTCGCTTCATGAAGATCCGGAGCACGCTTGGCGCTTCCTGTACCTATGCGCAGCTGCCCTTGGCGCAGCATGCTTGATCAGAGGTTAAGCCTCATGTATCTTATCTGACCCTCATGTCTTGTTATCATAGATGTACGATATACTATTGATTACAGACTGAGCTAGAATACTTGTAGTACTTCCCTATAAGTAGACACAGATTATTGTACTTAGACTTTACTTTAATCTACTAGGTTCATCCCCAGAACTTGCTCATCTAAGCCTACCAGCTTCCTTGTGTGAGACCGCACTTCTAAGTCGCCCCCATACGACTTAGCACGTATCCGCTAGCCCTGCATCTTGACGAGCGCCGTCTTACCGAGATCGCCGGAGGAATCCTTGACGTTCCGTCAAGGCTAGACCACGCTCAGCTTCAGTAGACTCACTCGAGTCGTCGCTGAGAAGACCTATCCTAGTTCGCACACGCCGACCGACGGTCAGTGTAACAGGCACAGCATGGATAGGCATACTGTACATTCCAGGAAGAAGATCGGGGCCTAAGTTAGTGGAATATCTTCCGACAGCTTCTTCTTTCGAGATCTGTCCCTGTAAGAAGTCTCGTTCTAATTCAGAAGATGGAGTTGGAGTTGGAACATCCCAAGTAGTCGGATATGTTCCAACATGAGTATCGGCCCAAGGCCAAAATCCCTCGCGAAGTCCGAGTATGACCGAACGAACAAAAGGCTGATTGGGGTGATGTGCGAGAGTGAGCAGAGTTTCAAAGCGGTCAATGTTTATAGGAGTGGAAACTTGAAAGAGATGGGGGTTCTGAGCAATGGTTGAAAGAGCCGCATCATTTTGGAATTCTGAAATGGGAGGATGAGGGAGAGGCTCAGCAGATTCGGTCCAGAGAGCAGTACCACTTATAGTCTTCGCCTCATCTCCCCATATCATCCGTCTTCGAAACCTTTGCCCCTGAGCAATGGTTTCGTTAAGCTGTTTTTGCCAAAGGGCAGTCACCTCGCTTGTGTCCTCCGCAACAGCGACTGCAGATGTGGAAACGGGAACAGTCTGACGTGGTTTTGTCGCAAGCTCCGCGATTCCAATTATTGCAGGGCTCTCCTTTTCCCAAAGGTTCTCGTCCTTTCTTCCCAAAACCTGACCCCTTTCCCACTGTTTTATCTCCAGGTGCGGAGGTAAGTTGGTGGAGCTCGGCATACATGACCATGCCGAGAGATGAGAGGTGGGTAACTTCAAGTCTTCGGAACTTTGAGACGGAATCGAAGCGTAAGTACTTTTGTCCCTCAATTTTGAGGCGACAAGCCTTGTCGAAGTCGATAATTCGGGAATGTAATGCGTAGTGAACGTCGACGAAGAATCCGGATAAATATTGTTTGTATCCTCGAAGTTCTGACTCTTTCCAAGGCATGATGAACGTAAGTGCCTCAACCCATAAGTCGGTGGCGATGCTCCAATCACCGTAAGTTTTGACTTTGTGGGTTGTTGTGGACTGTGACAAAGTGATTTCGAATCCTTTGCCGGGCGGTTGAGTTTGTTTGGGATCGATAGACGTCGAGTAGTGTCCTGAGAGAACCTTCTCAAGGTAGGGTGCACGGCCTTCAAGGAGAAGTGTCCATTGCGACAACGGGAAGCTGGGACATCCCGGTGTTGCTGTGACTTGTCCTCTATAGTACTTAGTGTCTTCGGTCCACTCCTCGTAACATTGGAGAGTGAGTTCCTCCCCTCGTTTGGAGGAGACATGGTGGTATTGTTCTGGATCAAGCCAGGGGTAGAACTGGACCCGTTCTGGGGTAAGTTTTCTTCTTTTCCCCCTAAGAATGTATTCATGGTTGTCTTCAGATTCGTCACTCTCCTCCTCTTCCGATCTCGCTCATCTGTGCAATCTTCTACACAACTTCTTTTCCTTTTCGACGGAGGTTTCGCTTGGTTCTGGGCTGGGGATGCGAGATTGATTTCGCGATGCTCCATTGTCGATATCGGCTCCTCCATCATTTCCTGGTCCATCGGAGGTGTGATCAAGGAGCTCGAGGTAATGTATGGATCCGGGCTTAAAGTCGAGTTGGGTGAGAATAGCAGATTCTCTGATAGCGGACTGCAGGATAAGTTGGATTTCCAAGAGAGCTTCCCCCTTGGAGATAATTCCCTTTCTGAAGTCTTCAACGAGCATAAGGCATCTGCTGACGGAGTCTTGACTAAACTCATGGCGCTCCTCGGAAGAGGGGCTCGAAGAAAGTGTTTGGATGGTTGGGGCATTCTCAGACATGAGAAATATTTCGATGTATTATTATTGCGCAAAACGATGGCTAGCGAGACGAACAAATTTGAGTGAGAATATGTTAATAATGAGAATGAGCAGCGTACCTAGCGAGATGAACAAATTCGAGTGAGAAGAGGTTAAGAAACCCTGTCACTCTGTCCCGCTAGACATAGACTGCCAGCTCCACTAAAGGAGGTGGCAATGAGGATTGCATAAGGCATAATAGACATGCCGAACGACGCACAGGGCATCGGCCATAGAGGCAGTGAGACAGGCTCACAAACAAAGGTAAAGAGCGGGTAGACCCGAAGGACTAGGCTGCTGAGGAGCACGCTCGTCCAATTACCCTTGTATAAATAAAGTTAAACTCGATAAATGTTGTGAAGTTGTGCATGTGTAAAGCATTTTGGCATTGCGGAGTTTTGATTACACAGTCTCTATGTAACACTTTGGGCAGATTGTCATGTCTGGGGCTTATTTCTTTATTGCAGATGATCCTGACAAGCATGTGCCCCAAATAAATTTGTTTTAGTATTCTCTAATCATGTATATAACCATCTCACAATATTCCAGAATTATATGTGGAGATCTGACCTTTAGAGTGAGCCTTCTATGCCTCTCGCACTGATAAGTTGCCCATGGAACAAGATCTACTTCGATTTTCTTCAAAAAAAATATATGGCAGTGTGTATTATGTTTGGGCGAATCCAGATCTATCATGGATAAGGATTCTGTGCAGAATTGCGTGTGCTAGAGTCAATGCGCGGACTCTTGGGACACACGGACTCGTGGGACCATCTAGTAACTTCTCTTGAAAAGAACACTGTCCGCTGGTGGGCATGACGCTCGGCAAACACCGTTTCAGATTGCTGACGTGAGCGACGAACATCTTTCTTGTTTCGATCGCGGTGGCGCAGACCCCTGGAACCGCACCCAGCAGGAAATCGATGTTGTGTCTCCGAGTCAGCCCGTTGTCCATCGTCGTCGTCATCAATCCCTCGCGTATGTTCTTTGCTGTGAAAGGGCAATCACTGACCCGCCTGCTTTTCCCCAGATCTCAATCCCTCTTGCTGTTGTCTACAGTGAGATTGCGCGCAGACTCGAGTTGAATTCATCTGTGAACCCCTCTGCTGCTGTCACCAACAACCAAGGAGGCCTGCGTGTCGGCAGAGTCCTCATCCTCATTGCTGTGTTAGTCTTCCTCATCCTCCTGGTCACCTACCATTGGTGGAGGCCAAGCATCCCCATCAATTCTTTCTGTGGCTGCTGTCTTCCGCCCCCTCGGCACCGGAGCAAGTCAAATGACTGCGCCAACATTGTCGTGATGATGTCCCTCAACCATGCCACTGCTGCCATGGTGGGCTCTGTTGCTGACTCGTTCTGGAGTGCTGATGCTGGCGAAGTCAAGCATGTCCAGTCTGCTGAAGCACCCAGGCCTGATGCAAACAACACTCTGCCCTTCCCACTCTGATTTTGACCAGATGGTGAGCCCGAGGTCCAGTACATCTCCATGTGAGTTGTCTGTCTTTCTCCAATCGCCATCTGACGAACGCCACCATGGTAAGCTCCAATATAAACATCAAAGCACTGAAGAAGCAGTGCCACCAGCTTGGACTCACCTCCACTGGCACCAAGTCCATGCTTCACAAGTGGCTGGAAGCCTTCAGTTGAGACCAAGATTCGTGGGATAGGTATGTGAATCGGGCCCGCTTCAAGAACACAGTTCTGGCTCACCTGTTATCATCCTTTCAAGGCTCTGGCTGGGGGCTCACAAAGCTCACAAGGGCCCATGAGTGGGATGTTCAACAACCAAGGCCAAGGCAGGCCACATGAAGCAATCAACCCAATGCCGCACCCAGTTGCTGCTTGGTACTGAAGTGGCCCTCACCTCTACTCCCACTGCCACCACCAGCTGCTCTAAAGACATGTGCATGCAAGACAAAATTGCAGCGCTACTGCCTTGGGTGAGCCCTGCCTTCTGCTCCTGGCCCCCTTTCATATCTTGATGTGTTTGTCGAGCAGGCCGATGCCATCAATAGCAAGTATCCCTATGCGCTGACAGATGGCACACTCGAAGTAGCAAGCACCCCGTCTGCTCGTCCTAGCACCACTGGTGACAGCACCAGTTCTTTGTGGCATTCTGCTGATGCCCTCTTCAAAGATGCCATCATCCAGAGCATAGGCATGAGACTCGTTGGGATTGTCCAAGATGCCCTCCTATAGCCAGGTGCCAGATCCACCAGCACCCATGCTGGTGTTGATGAAAACCCAGTGGTAGCTGTTTCTGAGGTCCCCATCAAGTCTTGTGAGCTGACCAATGTTTCAACAGGATGCTGTCAGTGCCGTGCCACCACCACCACCACCACCTATGCCAGAGCCAGCCAGTGACAAGCTGCACATTGTCATGCTCAGGGATGGCACCGTCCTGGAACTGGCCGATGCTGAGATTCCAGACCCCCCTGCCATCAGCTTCGTGAACAACATCTCATGGCTCAACAGCATGTGGGATGACTGCATGGTCCACTGGCAGGGGGAGTCTGTCATGAATATTCAAGGCCACCTGATTGCACTCGAGTACTGGCCCTTGCTGTACCACTATGGCTGTGATCATCAGTGGAAGAGCATGAAGAGTAAGTGGACAGACTGGCGGGTAAGTGCTGCTCTTGAACCTCGGGCCTTCAACCACAGCTTTCTGATGTGCTCTGTGCCCTCCTTTCTGTTGCACAGTATGTTGTTGAATGCTATCGGGAAGGCACTGAAGCGCAATTCTGGGAGGAGTTCAGTGCTGATGGCAAATGCATGAGTTATACTGTGATCATCCAGAAACTATGTGCCAAGCGCAAGATGGTCCTCACCGCAGCTGTTGAGCATGCTTGCAAAGAATATGGTGATGAGTTCAATGATCTTTTCACATATTGGAAGGGCAGAGAAGAGCATGTGATGGTGAAGCCATCAGTGGTCGCTAAACGATTCAATCAATTGGCTGGCGGACATGTTCATGGGTGCCGCTGTAGCACTCGAGCTCACGCTAGGCTCGTATTCACTGATTTCCCGATACACGTTCAATGCCTGTCACTTTCTGATGTAACCCACACAACCTAACACAAACATGACGCTATGACTAGCAGACCTGACGTTTCGGCCACATCGGACCTGATATTTTCCCGCGCACTTGTCCTATCTGTGTCCTGTCCCATCTTGCTAGCCCCACTAGGTGCATAGTTGATTATTTCACACATTACTCATGTCGTAGCAAGCACTATTACATGTTTTCCCATCATCCACAGTGCCTCGTGTTAGTTTACATGTACTTTGGACCTGAAATCGTCGGCCGCTACTCTCGCCTATAGGGTTCCAGATTTCTATGTACTTACATATATATTGGACTAACTATGAGTATTTTCATTATCCAAGTAGTAGGGAGCTGTTTCCCGATACTTAGTGGTCAAACCTGATATTTCGTAGTTCTTAGTTGACATTATGAATATTACCGCTCTTTCTATCTGAAATACCTGTCATTATTGTTAATCTGCATACCACTCGCTTTCCTGACATTTGCTATCGCGACTCCTGCTAATCCACTAAACCCGAACCCAAAACCCAAAAAACATCGGACCTGACACTTTGGCATTGGACATTGTAGATATACCCTCGGACTTTGTTTCTCGCACTCAGACTTTTGACCATTTATCGTTTCACTAACTACAGACCATTCCAAATAGCTAACCCCTCAGGTCGAATGCACTTGTCTTGCAAGTATAGCAGACTAGGCTGTGCATGACCACAACACATTTTTTATATTGCTGGTTACTTACTTTGTGTAGTGCCCAGCAATTGTTGTATCTCTACACTGCGAAGGACAGTAAATACTACGGCTATGCAACTAACTTTTTATACAAGTTTCCCAAACCAGTTAGCTACACTTAGGATCATAGTACTGTAGGGTATTAAAAATATATTCTTTGTTAACATGATTGCGCCACTCAAAACCTCAAAACGAGTTAGCTACACCTAGGATTCCTATGGTACTGTAGGGTAGAGTATTGAAAATGTTTTCTTTGTTAACATGATTACTTTCCTTGAGCCACTTAGAGGGGGGCTAGCCCACCCTCAAAACCATTTGTGTTAAGAGTTCTGCCTCAGAGGTAACCAGTTAGCTACACCTATACTATAGAGTATTGAAAATGTTTTCTTTGTTAACCAAAGAAAACATTCTCAATACCCTGCAGTATAGGTGTAGCTAACTTACCTCTGAGGCATATACTGTAGGGTATTGAAAATGTTTTCTTTGTTAACTGAAGAAAACATTTTCAATACCCTGCAGGCCGCTTAGAGGCTAGCCTGCCCTCAAAACTGTTCGTGTTAAGAGTTCTGCCTCAGAGGTAATACTAAGTTAGCTATACCTATACTGTAGGGTATTGAAAATGTTTTCTTTGTTAACCGAAGAAAACACTCTCAATACCCTGCAGTATAGGTGTAGCTAACTTACCTCTGAGGCAGGACTCTTAACATGAACAGTTTTGAGGGCGGGCTAGCCCCCTCTAAGTGGCTCAAGGAAAGTAATTGCATTAACAAAGAAAGTGTAGTTGGCTACACATATATTGATACATGGTGAAAAATTAGTATGTAAGCACATACTTAGGGGCAACAGCAGCAGCCTTAGGGGCCACATCATAATCTCTCTCTCTCACCACTTTGACACCACACTCAAACACACCCAAGGTACTGCTCAATTTTCATTTCTAAACAAAGGACCAGTGCACTGAATCAGTGCTAGCCACAATGACAACACCATTCAAAGACCATGTTAGAGAGATGAGCAGCATTGCCGCTACTGAATCGGACATTGACATTGACAGCAGTGACATCATGCACTTCGCCCACCTTGGTTTTGCAGCATCCATCAAGTTCCTCGCAGAGCAGCACAGTTTCAATGAGAGCATCATTCAGAACATTTACAAGCAACTTAAAGATTATGCAGAGGTGAGGGATGTCATTGAGATGATGTGAGATGATGTGGAGGAGTGGGCAGTAGGGGAAATCTTGAAGCGAAATGAGGATGAGCATTTCAATGAAAGAGATGAGAGCACGGAAGAAGAGGATGCAAACATCAAAGATGAGGAGGATTAAATGAGCATTGCAGCACAATCTGTAGCCGAGTATACAAGGTGTTTTGTCGATATAGTAGGCCTACATCTAAATCATCAGGAGACTATGTCTCCATATCCTCAGCTTCCTCATATGCTCATTCATTCATTGTCATGGGTTGAGTAGACTGAGGTTTGGGTGGCGCGCAGAGTCATTAATTGAAAAACAACACTCACTCCCACCCCATAATCCTCCTCACAGGTACCTCCAATCTCAAAAAAGCCCTCTTCCCGAGCCTTTTCATAGAACAGATTCGCAGTGGGGAGAGAGAAGTCGTCGATTGGGACTTGTTCGACTGTGGGTGAAATCAATGATGTATACAGGGAGGTGGGGAAGGGGAACGTACCTGCAGAACGATAGAGGATTTTGGGCTCCATGAATATGACTGGGTTGGGATCATGGATAGCTGAGAGGAGGAGGCCTTTGCATTGGATTGGGAGCAGGGGATTATGACCTAGTGGTGCATAACTTCATTTAGAAGATTCATCATGGGATTAGCAAGATGAACACACCTTGAGACCAGATGCGCCCATGAAGAACCCTTCAGGACTTTGTGAATGGTATAGCCCACTGTGACCCGTGGCCATGGTTGGCGTACGCACAGTTAGCCCGCTGATAGAGAAGTGGGTATAGCCCACCGTGACCCATGGCCATGGTTGGTGTATGCACGGTTAGCCCACTGATAGAGAAGTGTCCACCTGAACAGTAGTGAAACTTTGCAGCTTCATTCATGAGCTAAGTTGAAGGTGGTCTTGTGTGATGCGGAAAAGCTGAGAGGATGTGACGGATGAAGAATGACCACCCGCAGGTGGTTTTGGTGACGTGCAGAGTGTCATGTCATGGGTTGAGTAGACTGAGGTTTGGGTGCGTGTGCTTGAGTAGACTGAAGTTTGGGTGCACGCACAGAGTGTCGTGTCGTTGGGTTGAGTAGACTGAGGTTTGGGTGCGCGTGCAGAGTGTCGCGTCATGGGTTGAGTAGACTGTGGTTTGGGTGTGTGTGCAGGTGGGAACATGGGTGATCGTACATTCTACATTACACCTACTAGTAGATGGGGGTGAACTTTAAGCACAAGCACAGCACCTCCCGCATTGTGGGCACTTAACCATAGGTGGCCTGTTAGGATCAAAAAAATGTTCCCTTGGCTCTGCAGGGTCATTGTTTGAAGAAATGAGATACTTCACTATGGTTAGGTTGGAGAACTCTGCACTCCAACCTCCCCACTCACATATCCTCCTCAGCGGCCAGCATTTTTCGACATGGAGGTACTAACAGCCACCCCTCCGGAATGAGTGGGTACCATAAGGGGCAGAGTCAATGTTGATGTCCAGGAGATTGTTGCAAAATAATTTGAGGAACTGTTCAGAGGACTGACATTGTGTGCATCAGGAATTTGTGCAATTGGATACAACAGGAACACACACCATTGGAGAGTTTGCTTCTGCTTGCAATCTTTCGGAACAAGTAACCGGACATGATCTTGGACTCGCTCAACCAGGCAGCAAGTGCTCTAACAGGGCAGATATGGGCTTCACATGACGGAAGGGACCACAGGTGAAATGGCTTGATCTCTACAGGACAGTCAGAACGTGCACTACAGCACAAACACTCCAAGTTCGAGGCACTATGAACCTCTATTTTGGTGGGTCTTGCAGAAGGGGAGGTGCAGGACCATCCGGTCCTCATGCACTTGGAGATCGTGGACCTGAATCTTTAGCACTTCGTCAAAACAGAGCATGCATGGAAATTACACTGTGTAGGCTGCCTGCAGAAGCCTCTGGACACGCCCACCACCCCACGAGTCCAAACCAGATTGCCCCCACTTGCCAGGTTGGTATTTTCTGATGGTCCAGTTGTGAGCAAGGTGGTTGTGGTGGTACAACTTCAAAATATCCTGCAAGAGCTGAGTAATGAGTGAGTCATTCGAGGGCCAGAAGCAGCTCACCAACATTATGGCTCGAGCACTATTTGCAACTTCACCAGCTTGAACCTAGGGTTGGATGGACAAAGAAAGCTTACCTTGCATCTACAGAGGGAGCACATGTATGATGACACCTCAACAGATATTGACAGGTTGCCAACTATAAGCCCACCTCTGGTATCTGATTCATGCCAGGGCATGTTGCCCAGGCCATTGAGCCTCCTGAAAGTGTTACGGCACACTAATTCTCTTCGCTTCTCCTTTGTTACCGGACAATGGTACTTAAACACAGCTGTTGTTGAGCGACCAATAACTTTCCAGACTCTTACTCACATCATCGCCAAGCTGACTTTCCGTGCTAGTAACCATCACTATGTTTAGCCGATCATCTCTTATCAAAGCGGGCTGTCCGCACCATGGTTACTATCTCTTATCTCTTATCGTCTAACAAGCGGGCTGTCCGCCTTCTATCTTGATACGCATTTACAAGCTCCGCTTGAACTCTCGCTATATAGATACATAGTGTACCACATGTAGTTCTTCACTTTAATCTACTGGGTTTTACCTGGAACTAGTCCTTTAGTAAGGTCTCCAACCTTGCTATCTAAGAACCATCATTCTAAGGAAGTCGCCGATACTTGCCTTAGCCAGAAACCTTTGACCTCTCATTCGAGAGAAGAACCACGTCTGTCTCGCCGAATCTCAGTCCACTCGGACTAAGACAGCTCGACATACCCCAGTCGTAACAGAAAGCATATGTCATCGACGCATGCATCTTCTGTGCATGACCATACGTTCCACATTCCTGGGTCGATGGCTTCATGGTGCCATCAATATTGAGAGAGTCAGACCTTTGATCAATCAGCATGGCAAGCCGCATCTCACAAGACAAACTTACATATTCATGATCCACGCAATGATCAGCCATGGCGCATCAGCACGTGGCTTTTTGCAGAAAAACTCCTCGTTGCTCCCTAGCAGACCAAGGCCAGCAAGAAACATGACACATGTGTTCATCAGCCTGCAAGTAGTCAGCAGAGTAGACACCCAGTGAGTAGACACGACAAACCATTTGTATTCCACACTGGTGCCTTCGGTGACACCCTTTAAGGCATCCATCAGTGTTGACTGCAGTCTTGCAAAGTCAGGTGCATCTATTGACTTCATGGACGTTGACGGGAGGGGGGGGTCCATGGTGCAGACATTGTCGGATACCCTGTTGCTTGGCTTGACAAGGGTTTCCTGCTCAGCTGCAACATCCTCGGTGATATCATCCATCTCAATACCACTAGCTGATGCAGATGGAAGCACATCATGCAGGCCAGGAAAGTGCCACACTAAGTCAGCGGCAGCAGCCATGGTCAACGAACTTGAAGAGTTAAAGCTGGGAGGCCCCTCTTGGACTGCACCAAAGAGAGAATTGGATTTGTAAGCGAGACTCGTGCAACAAAGAGGTTCGGAAGGTAGTCGAGGAAGGAGGTATGAATAGCAGGAAAGAAATGAAAAAGACAGTCCAATTTTTGGATCCAAGGGACTGTCCTAGCGTACACAAAGACTGTCTTTTTTCGACCTGGCAGGCTGCACTCCAGCCATCCTCCCTCAAATTTTGCAGGCAAGCATGCTTGTCCACCATGTGTTTCTCAGATGAAAAAAGATGTTCGCAGCTGGGCATGACATCAGTCAGTTCTTCGGATCACTGGAGAGCTTCAACAACAGTTGTTGACAGCACTCATGGCAGTGATAAACAGCAGGCACTGGGAGTTTCAGTGAGTGAAGTTCAGTGGTAGCCAATATCGAAGCATCCCTCACCTTTGATGCATCAGGGTAACCATGCAAACAGCCAGGTGGCACCCGGATGGTGCGAAGTCCACAATGTGAAAATTGTGACATACAAAGCTGGGGAGGGGGGAGGATCTGTGCTTGAAGAGAATAATGGATCTGAAAGTTAGAAGGCAGGGAGCGCGAACTGACAGCATGGACATACCTACCATGCATATATCTTCTCTCCCTTCTTCAGCTGCTCCCCCCTCACTCACTCTTTCTTCCCCTGCTGCTTGCCAACTCAGCCCGGCCCTTTTGCAACTGAAACCCTCCTTTCCCCATGCTAAAGGCTGGTCCTGGACATGCCCTTGGTGAGTCACTGGCGATTTCCGTCCCTCGTGTCCGCATTTCCGTGATGCCCGCGATGTCTGTTGCTCATGGCTATGGAGTTAGGCACAATCATTGGCCTTAGTGCCTTCGTTCTTGTTTGTCCCTGCCCAGCCCTCACATTTTGGAATTCAAAGCAGGGGTTGATGGAAGGTTTTGGGCTTGGGCTTGGAAACCCAGGAAGGGGGTGACAGGTGTCCTCTCGTTGAGCTGATGGCTCGAACAAGGGATTGTCAATTGAGAGAGGATGAGGGCATCAGTCATGAACGGTCACATCGTGACTGTCTGTGACTTGACCGTCATTTTTTGCATTTGAAATGATACTTTGTCACGTGTCCCACCCTCCAATGAATCAAAGCTATTTTGTGACATATGGTAAAATATGAAAAAAAAAGACAAAAAAGACAAAAAATCATTATACAAGGTGTTCATGGTGCGCCTGTGCTTTCCTCTCCCAACACAAGGAATCTCTTTGCTTTCCCCTCCTCCCTCGCCCATGTTCAAAGCTTCAGCAACCTGAGCATGTCCTGTTATCATCGACTCTGTAGCCTGCCGGCGGGTCCTGGCTGTTGCCATCTGCAATATGCTGTAAGACGGCCTCAATTGCTACATCACTTCCATCCAAGGCATCAGCATTGGCGTTGTCTGGACTCTGTGAATGCTGGCTCTTCATCTGCATCTGTGACAGCATGCTGCTCTGAAAGTTTGTATTGGTGATGTCAGAAATTTCCAGGGGTGCCTTACAAGCATTCCATATTGGGACACTATTTGGACCACATTGGAACTAAATTCCCAGGGAGCATGACTTATTTTACTCACTTGCAAGCAGGCTCTTAGTACTTACAAGCGATTCTAATGGTGCTGGTGAGTGATTATTGATAATTGCAACCGCAATTCATTATGTCAGATTATGATAATCTTTCGTCGACATCATTGCTTCTCATTGATCCGACTCCTCCCATCATTGTATTTGAATCTTTAGCTGCCTCTCTTAGGCTGTATATCTTTAATTTGTACTACTCTTGTGGCATGGTCCCCAACCAAAACACGACGAACTGGGGATGTAAATATATTGCTTCAACATCATCCAACAACCAAGTGGATTGTCAGTACTGTAACAAGTCATACTTGGCATGCGGGATCAAATCTCACGAACAAGGGTATCTGAGAAGATGGGATAAGAAGAATGATGACAAGGATTTCGTGGCACTTGCAGCGCATGCAGTAGAGGAGGAGCTTCAAAGGAAAGGTAAGCGTCGATTAAATTCTGTCTTCATTGGCATATCATCTTGTTGATATCAGTGTACTAATTAATAATACTTTTCGCATCATTTTAAAAGCATGTCGAGAGAAAAGATGGCATCGTAAGGAGCAAACAATGGCTTCTGCTGTTGTCGCTGCCACAGTGCCATCAGTCCCTTTGAGAATGGTTCCAGATGGCACAAAGAACTCATCGCCTGAGCAAGATCAACAGCCTGACAACTTCACTGCAGGTCCATTGTTCGAAGGGAATTCAGATGTTGCCGATGCAATGAGCATCAGTAGAGATTCAGATGCACATCAACATATGTATTATTTTGACTTTCATGTCTTCTGGAAAGTCCCAAATTCTGATCCTCATGACACGATTTTGCAGGACCATTTGCATGTATATCATATGGGTCAGTGGAAACATCTCTTTGGCGAGCTCAAACAACACATTGCAGCCCTTGGATGCAGCGCTGAGAAGAAACTAGATGATCAGTGAGTTGTAATTGTTCAGACTACATGTTAGTAACCCTATTTAATTGCTTGCAGGTTCAATACCTTCCTGTGATAGCGCAGTCTTAATCACTTTGATTGGATTACTAATATTACTTACAGCAATGGTAACAAACTTTGGTATATCTCCAGGGTATGATATGACTTCGCAGCTACCAGTTCTCATGTTAATAAATTACTCTTCTCATAGCAAGTTTTGTATGCCACACAGAACATACTCACATGCACAGCGGACGAAGCTGGCTATGCACTACTGTGGTGTATAGCGAGCTACCTACATATCAACATGTATATTTCACTTGACATGCAGACTGAAAGCATGATTGCTGCAGGAAGGGCAGAGGTGTTAGAGTTTCAGAAGCGCTTAGAGGTACGTCATAGCAGTTCTGCAAATTGTCATTAGTATTAATTCACTTATCATTGATATCTCAGGACTACATCAAAATCATCGAGGAGACTGATCTGGACATGATCAAGAACTGGAACTTTCCAAAGATTCACTCTGGACAGCATATATTCAATGACATCATGGTGAAAGGTGCCGCTCGGAACTTCAGCACTCGACCAAATGAGAAGCAACATGGACCTATCAAACGGTGGTATCTATGGCAGACCAATCATAAGGATATTGCTGATCAGGTACATTCATGTTTTTTAATTCTAACTCTCAATGAGTCGCTCCATACCACTCATTTTGTGTAACATAGATCCTTGAGCTTGACCATAAGAGTGTCGTCTCTGAATTTATTTGCAGTCATATTGAGTGCCTTGATGAGGAATGATGCAAACTCATGCTTTCGCAGGAAGAACTGGAGGACACAGACTTGGATGATGAGAAATTTGAAGAACATTTTCATATTGGTTCACCCCTCAAGAATCAAACAACCCTTTTGCAAGTGGAGGAAGAAAACAAGTCCATTTGTGCCTTTCACCAGTTCCGGAAGAAACTTGCAACATTTCTCAACCATTTCCTTCCCTCTCACAACATACCACTGCCGGAAGGAACAATGTGGTTGAAACTTTCAGCACAAGACCAGGTAAATTGACTTTCCTTGCTTTTACTCAAATCTGACTTTGTATGTCGAAAGATCCATGAATATCGATACTTGAAAGTGCATTATGAGTCTACTGCTGACTGGAAGCTAGCTACTGACTACCTGCGATGCAACCTAAGCTTCCATGGCAAAGAACGGCATGACTGCGCTCTAATACGCACACTGGATAAAGATGGCCATGACAAAAATATATTTGTGAAGATATTATGCATGTTTAAGCACACTGTTGGCAGCTGTACCTTATATCTCGTGCTCGCTCTACCTATGGATGCCTTAATTGGCCCATGTCAGCGTATGGATTGAGAACTGCAACTAACTCAACTTTGTGCATGGCCCACTTCTTCATCTGAGTTTATTACACTTCATTCCATCATTCGTGGTGCTCTTCTCATTCCAGATTTTGCTCATGATGGAGATTATTTTCTTGTGGATACTGTGGATACTGACATGTTTCTTTGTACCATACATTCACTACAGTTACATTAGTAATAACAGTTCATTGACATTACCTATCTCTTTTAAACTTGTCCAGAGTACCCTCCTTCCTCTTCCAATTCCCAAGTAAAGCTTCCCCATTTCATCGCATACACGCTCGGCTCATTACACATCTTTTTGCTTGTCCAGAGTACCCTCCTTCCTCTTCTAACTCTCAAGTAAAGTTCCCCCATTTCATCGCATATGCATTTAAGTTATTGATGGGTACACTTGTTGTCTTGACACTAGCTTTGATGTATTGCCAGAACATCGCTGGTTTCTTTGTTGATATCTTTGGCAGAAGTGCTGGTGACTGAGATCCAGAACACATGGAGCAGGTATGTCAATATTTCCCATTCATTTCTCTTATGCTACTAGGCTGCAAATGGTGCTGTCAGCATAGATGTCTTCGCGTTCTATGGTCTTGATTTTACTCTCAACGCTCTTTAAGCATCTTTGCATAATCTTCTTCTTGATATTACAGCTCCACTTACACATACCAACAGATAAACTTGAAAAAAAAGGATATGATGGTGCTGATGATCATGGCCATCATTCAACTTGAAGTTGATATAGAGTTGACTGAGTCATGGATGCATCGACTCCGTGCTTGCAAGGGTGACCACCTCTGTTCTTGCAAAGCAGTTTGGCCAACAGCTCATCGACAATGCGAAAGAAGTCATCAATCGATCAATCAGCCTCTGGTGTACGTGGATGGTAAGCACACAATGATTTATGTCCATCACCCTTAATCATGTTTCCAAAGTTCCAGTGACATTCCTAACTGCTCCTCATACCGAAGTCATGGAGAAAGGTGACATCATCTACTCCAAAGTCATCCAGGAGAGTGTCCACAAGTTGGAAGCATGCGTCGAGGAGATGGTCAGTGGAGATATTATTTCCACCGCGAACATCCAGAAGGTGCAAGATGTCATTTTGAAGCTGTGGACCGTAGTAAGGTCCCAACCCGGCATCAGCCAAGACCAGAAGAACCACATCAAAGTATTGTATGAGGGAGTCATCTGTTCCCTCAGAAATGGTCCCAAACCAGCACACACAGGCACTCACATTTATCACTCTTCCTCCAGACAGGGCCCCAAACCAGCATGCACAGGCATTCACAGTCGTCACTCTTCCTCCTAATTCCTGTCCACAGACAAGGACCCTCTTCTCCATCTCAAATGCAAGGTGGGCAGCAACTGGAAGCAGGACATTAAAGCACTTGTTGACTATATCTATGCCACGCTTAGTCTCGCTCTCGACTGCATACCTCTTTTCACTGCAGTGCCTGAGAATGACCATGAAATTGATGGTTTGGATGACAAATCTGAGCTTGCCCACCGCATCATGTTGGTGAGCATCCTTGGTGCAGCCAAGAACAAGAAGACTCGTCACTTCATTACCAGACCAATCCAGGCCATTCTTTCCCTGTCTGCTAATCACGGTCTTTGGCAGTGATGGTCTCTCTTCTGAGTAAGAGACTTTGTTCAATCACTGGAACTCGAAGAGTTGGGGCGAGTATTTGTGCTTGGCTAGTGTTGTTATCAGGTAAGTATTGTAGCAATTTTATGTTGTGGCTCAGTGATTGATATCACGTAGACGGACCCAATGCTCTTGATTTCAAGGTCATCAATGGAGCGGAGGGTGAGCAGGTTCTGCAAACTGTCAATGTGGTCCCACGAGTAAACTTCAGATTTGCTTCATCCTGCAGGATCTCGAGAAACTCAGCGGCATCATCGATCTGGAGAAGGTTGTTGTCTTCACCGGATTCACTGAGGTTGGCCCTTGGGATAGTTCATGCACTCATTGAGAAATGGAGGCATGAGGAGACTTCACGATTAAGGGCTCTATTGAGATGGCCTGGCTCATGGGTCATAAATCTTTGGGCAACTCGATATTGAGACTTGGCAGTCTTCCTCCAAGATCGAGGCACTTGTCGAGGAACTTTCTAATCTTTGCTTGCAAGACTAAAAGTATCATGTTCAGTCAATTTGTCAATTTGTCAACTTTTGGATGTAATCACCTTTAGGCCACAAAAGGCGAACTTTTCAGTGCGCTTGGATCTGGGAATATTACTGAATACATGCCTGGTGGTCTTATCCACATCACGGATGACCAGGCTTGCTGCTTGCATAAGAAGACTGATCATTCGATGGTGGAAGCCTTTGGCAAGCATTGGGGCAACCACTCATTGTTCAAAAATCATTCTGGTCTCTCCACATTCCCTGTCAATCACTTCAACCTGTCACCTACTCCACTGAGGGCTTCTTGGACTGTAATCTCGATACTCTTAACCCTGATTTCATCTCCCTTCTTCGTGACTCAGCTTCGGGCATTTCTGATGGCACAGAGGGTGCTAGGTCAATGAACCCATTCGTTAAAGGCCTCTTCTCAGGCAAGGCTATTGTGACACAAGCCCACCCAAAAAATGAAGACACCATCATTGCTGCCCAGCAGCCTGTCAAGCTAATGTGTGCCCCCTCCACCTGCTGTAAGGCACCATCAAGCACATCCCCACACTGCGGGAAAACGGCATTGATGAGCAGGATGATAATGATGTCACCATGTCTGCCAGAAGCGGCACACCCTGCATCGCAGGCAAGTTCCATTCTGCACTTGACACACTCTTCGAGACTCTAGGAGACACGCAGAACTGGTATGTTTTCTGGATTAATCCGAATGACTGGCAGCTGCCCAACCAGCTTGAGGGTCATTCTGTCAAGGGCCAGGTGCGCAGTCTGGGCATGACAGAGATTGCGAAGCACAATGTGAATATGTTTGAGGTGGGGATGACTCCAGAGGAGTTTTTTCAGAGGTACAGGGATCTGATCTCGGCTTTGGGCATTTCAGATGGAACTCTGAGGGAGTGTGTTGAGCAGACGCGGACTACGCTGCCATTGAAGGAGCGTGATGTTGTCCTTGGGCAATACAAGGCAAGTGGATTCAATACACAGCTCAAATGTGTGTTAAACATCTTTGTAGGCCTTCCTATCACAAACAGCATTCCACTTGCGTGAGGACCGTATTCGTGCATTGGATGTTGAGGAACAGAAGCACAACCACGTTCATGATGCTGAGGCCGAGGCTGGACTTGATGTCCATGGCTTTGGTGACCTCTATGCTCCTTACCCTTCACATGGTGCCAATAATGGTGAGGAGTCACCATTCATCAATGCTTTCTTGAACCCTGCTCTTCCTCTTGTCTCTGATGCATCTCCCTTCCAGTGGGCTGATCTGTACGATGATGAGTATGACGAGTGCAAGTCTCTCTGCAGTGACAACAACTTTGACAACTGCAGCCACCTCACAAGTAATTGGGATGCACCTGAGCTGGGATATCAGTGAAAGAATGACAGATCCCTCATTCTTGTCGCTACACACAGAATCAGTATTGAGGACGATTATGTCTAAGAATGAGTAAGTAAAGAAGAAGAATGATGGACAGGATTGAAGTATCGTCAGGTTCTGTGTCTTCTGGTGATTCAAACTCCAATGAGCCCCTTCAGTGACAAATTCCATATTGTATGGGCCACCCGGTGAAGGTTCAACGATACAGTGAGGCACAAACAATGCTCCTGACTGTATCTATAAATGTTGTAAGGTCGCGTGTTGCCTAGTCTGCTATACTTGAGACGACAAGTGCATTCGACCCTAAAGGGGAAGCGAGTGCAGCAAGTGTTACACACTCAAATAGATCTGTTAGGCGGAGCCCTAAGAGGGGCGTCGTCCGCTAACGTTCGTGACGTAACCGGAAGGGTCCGGTATGGCAAGTGAGACTGGCGACTGTCGGCAGCGATCACAGTACGCGCGTGTCACGTGACTTCATAGACGGATGTCGTGAGAAGTCACTCAAAGTAAGGACAGTCTTGTCCGAACGATGAGGTCGATCGAGGTAGACTTAGTCGCGATGAGCGACTAAGAAAAGATACTAGAGACTGAAGCTGAGGGGGCTTCAGAGGGAAGTATGTTCCAGGGAAGATTGAGTAGATTCAAGTTAGAGAATCTAGTACAGTGTGACCGACTACTTATACTAAGTGGAGAGGGTTAAGGGCAAGGCTACCGCACGGTAGGTAAGGGTAAAGGGGAAGCGAGAATGGTATAGGTGCGCTGGTATCAGAGCCGGATTAGTGGTGGATGGTCGAATGTGGAATGAGACCGAGAAACGTTGGAACGGACCAACGGTAAGAATACAACGTGCGGGAATCCGCAGTCAGGGGAAACAGAAAGAGGAAAGCCACATTGGTGGCACGAGTCAGACCGAGTCAGAGGTGCGGGACCACATTGGTGGTTGAATCAAGAGAGGAACGTGCGTGCACGTGCATAGAGGCGGATGATGCGAGGGACGGGAACGGTCCCGAGGATCCGGTCAATGGAAAGTCGGTAAAGGAGGACGAGCCGGTAGATGGTGAGGGCGAGGATGAGGGGAAAATGATAGGGGGGCCACGTGACCGATGTTACTTGTAACAGCAAGGATCTAGAGGTATGCGCTGAAAGCGCTACTGGTTGGCCAATGCGAAGCGCGAGAAAGCGCAGGTGCGCGCAAGGCGCGGGAATGCGCGCGTGTATGGCGCGAAGCGTGGGAAAGCGTGCGCGTGTATACAGATACGAGAGAGAGTAAGAGTGAGTTTGCTTAAGTGATGATATGATGTAAGACAAGAGAAGAGAGATGCGAGGTGTAAACAAATAGATTTCTACTATGTTCTGCTAGGTGAATAGTGGGTAGTAACCAGTAAGTCCTCTGTCGTTCTGGTGGGAGAGTAAGTGAGTCCCGGTGGGTGAGTAAGTATGTACTGCTGGCGCTTAAGTATGGCGCCTAAGCGCTGTCATGCGGAGCCGAAGCGCTACCGAGTAAGGTATGTAAAGATATATGTAAGTAAGGGTCCATGATAAAAATAAAGATGGAACAATATGCAAATGTGAGAAATGGAAATATACGCACTAGGGAACTTGGTGGACAGTGGATGGATGCTTCCGGATGGCTGGCGCTATAGGGCGCTACAGCGCGGGAAAGCGCGCGCGCATATACATCGTGAAGCGTGGGAAAGGTACGCGCGCATGGCGCGCGTTGCGCGGGAAAGCTGCGCCTCATATAGAGATAGCTGCAGGTAGCACACAGAGTGATGCTACAAGTTCGTGCCATGTACTCCCCAGTGAAAACTGCCATATTGCACAATGAGAGGCATGAGTCTCTACACCGGCCTACATAATATCCAGTATGAGACGGGCCAGCGGATTATGGGCCCATGTTGTGTATATTCTCAATGATGACAGATGTGCTGGGAAACATATTATTTCCGATGGAGACAGGTGGGCCCATATATGCCAATGATATATATATCCTTGATGTTGACCGATGGGCCGGGGGAATATGATCATTCATGGAGATGGGTGGGCCCATCTGGGTAATATGTAGAGTAGGATATTATAGACAGCTGGGCTGAAGAGAGATGTAAGGCAAATATTGTTATATAGACGGGCGGGCCGATGGGGGTGTATTACATATATGGGTGGGCCGAGGTAGGGGAATATTACATAGATGGGTGGGCTGACGTGGGGTGTATTACATATACAGGTGGGCCGAGGGTGCGATTAAATATTTATTACATAGACAGGTGGGCCGAGGTGGGGTATAATTATATAGATGGGTGGGCCAATGTAGGATGTATTATATAGATGGGTGGGCCAACATAGGATGTATTACATAGACGGGTGGGCTGACGTGGGGGATAATACATAGATGGGTGGGCTGACGTGGGGGAATTGTACATAGATGGGTACATATATGGGTGAGCCTAGATATGTTTCATCAAGACATACAGCTGATGTAGCCACCAGCGAATCAAACATGTACACTATGAGTGCATATACCTACCATCAACCACCAAATCTAAACCCCTAAGCACGAAAACATGAATCGACCATGTGTGGCATTGACCAATAATTGAGGACTGAAGTGGAAAACCCCAAACCGAGATTTACCAAGCCCCGAACCCCAAAATTGTGGACTGCCGGGTCTCGGGGGTGGGCACTCAGGACTTGGGAAATTTGGGGAGATCAATTTACAACCAAGTTGATTGACAAACACATTGACTTACCCATTTTTGAAATATATTTTTGTTGTCTCACATACTGAGTTCCGAGTTCCGGGACCCCCGAACCCCGAAACCTGGCAGTCCACAATTTCGGGGTTCGGGGGTTGGTAAAATGTGTATGGATATATGAAGGGTTGATTTAAACATTTTTAAAAGATGTCTCATATCAAATGTCAAGTCCCAAGTTTCGATTTCCAGGTTTCGGGAGTGCTGAGTCCCGAAGCCCAGAGTCCTGAAACCCAGAGTCACAAAACCCGGAAATCAAAACTCGGGACTTGACATTTGATATGAGACATCTTTCAAAAATGTTTGAATCAACCTTTCATATATCCATACACATTTTACCAACCCCCAAACCCTGAAATTGTGGACTGCTGGGTTTTGGGGGTCTCGGAACTCAGAACTTGGTATGTAGGACAACAAAAATATCTTTCAGGGTTCGGGGGTTAGTGAAATGTTTATAGATATACGTAGGTTAATTCAAACATGTCTGAAAAATTTTGTTCATCTCAAATGTCAAATCCTGAGTTCCGGGTTTTGGGACTCGGCACCCGGCACCCGGCACCCGGCACCCGGCACCCGGCACTCGGGGTTTGGCACTGAAAATTTGACATTCAGGTGTTCGGGTTTCGGGTGATATCTAAATCACAACAGCTTCGAGTTCTGCCAAAGTGTGAAACTTGAAACCCAGTGTGCAACATGTTGATTTTTCATTTATATCACACAAATCATCGAGTTCCGAGTGCTGAGTGCCGAGACTCAAAGCCCGAGACCCGAAAATATGTATATAACATTTCCATTTTTCACTTGTTGCACAAATCACTGAGTTTCAAGTGCCGAAACCCAAAACTCAAAACCTGGTGTGCAACATGTTCATTGTTCATTTACATTACACAGATCATCAAGTTCCGAGTGCCGAGGGCCAAAACCCGAAGCCTGAGACCCGAAAATATGTACACAACATGTCATTTTTCACTTACTGCACAAATCACCGAGTTTCGAGTGCCAAAGCATGAAACTTGAAACCCAGTGTGCAACATGTCCATTTTTATGTACATTACACAATCCATTGAGTTCCGAGTGCCGAGGGCCGAGACCCGAAGCCCGAGACCCGAAAATATGTATGCAACATTTCCATTTTTCACTTGTTGCACAAATCACCGAGTTTCAAGTGCTGAAACCCGAAACTCAAAACCCGGTGTGCAACATGTTCATTGTTCATTTACATTACACAGATCATTGAGTGCCAAGGGCCGAATACTGAAACCCGAAGCCTGAAAACATGTATGCCACATGCCCATCTACTCATTGCACAAATCACCAAGTGTCGAGTGCTGAAACCCGAAACGTGGTACTTCAAATGGACATGAATTCTGTCTTTGTATGTATTATCCATTGGTGTAGGGTTGAAATAACTTGGGAATTGTATTTGTCAGTGCTCGGTAGTTGGTAGTTGATAGTTGGTAGTTGGTAGTTGGTGGTTGGTAGTTGGTAGTTGGTGGTTGGTAGTCAATATAGGCAAATGATAATGAAAAATGAAAGTTGTTATTACGCTTAACTTCCTTACCGAAGGTTGTAGTCCGAGTCTAGGGGAGTGTATTGGTAGTCTTTTCTTGTCCATCAGTTATCATTTAACCGAGATATAAGCTAAAGAAATCTGAAACATTGGCGATAATGAAAAATGAAAGTTATTATTATGTTTAAGTTCCTGAACAAAAGTTGTAGTCCGAGCCAAGGTGAGTGTATTGGTAGTTTTTTCT